GGGGGGGGGGAAATGAGGAACATTATGGTAATAAAAACCTTTCGTTAAACTTAACGATCCGCTTTATCAATATAATTGGAACATAATCGACCAGGGGAAAAAACAACGACATACATATAGTAATTATACATGCAACCGCTCTTTCATCATTATCATTTAGTGTAATATCCTGAATACCCTGACATCAGCGATCATGGTTCTCGAGGTTAAGCCTTGGTCGCCTCTCAGGTCCCGGATTCAAATCCGGACAGCGACGGAAAATTCTTTTTCTTCTTTAAAATTGTATTCTTTCACCCCATTTCTTACTCTCTAACAATGTTTTGACGTCAGCTATTTTCGTCCCCACTTTTTTCCCCGTCCTCCCGCCTTCTTTGCCCCCTCCGGGCTTCTCATGACTCATAATTTCTGCAGCCTTTTTATTGTTGCTCCTTGGCCCTTTCTTAATACTGTTGTTTTTCAGTCACACCCCTGATCATATGGTATATAGATCAACACCTAGCTAGCTTTCTCAGATAAGAGCGAAAAATCTCGGAGGTCCCGTGTGCATGCAAAGTTACACACGTTTTTAACATCACTGGGTCCAAAATCGGTAAGCGGCGCCACCCGGGCAAAATTCAAAATTCCTTACCAACTGAATTAAAATATTTAATGTATCCAGCACGCTCATATGACCTAAGGCAGTTGCGAGCGCCTCAAAACACTTGCCAATTTTTTAAAAAAATTCATCTCTCCGCTCGGATAATCTAAATAAAAACCTCTTCTCATCCTGATATTTCTCAATCACCCAAATCGCTGTTCAGGTTGCCCAGCGTCTTGCCTCGTATTACACTTTAATTTATCTATCTATCTATCTATCATATGACCTTATGCAGTTTCGAGCGCCGTAAAACCCTCTATCTATCTATCTATCTATCTATCTATCTATCTATCTATCTATCTATCTATCTATCAGGCGTCATCTAATTAACGCATGAGGCAATCATTCCAACACCAGAGTAAATTATGTAGTCTATGTGAAATCATAGTATAGGGGAATAAAATAGAGTTGAATATTTCAGTTCTGTATGTACACATGGACGAGTATAGGGAGGATGATGTGCAGGCACATATATATTGTCTGATAAATAATATACATGTATTGGCATAATGCGACGCAGGTAGTACTAGTTGTTACCACACACCCCACCCCCCAAAAAACAACAACAACAACAACAACCAACCAAACAACAACAACAACAACAACAAAACCCACACACCCACAAAACGAACGAACAAAGAAACAAACAAACAAAACGAAACAAATCCCGAAAAGACAAAACGCACAAAAAACTCCAACAAAAAACAAAAATACTATCTGTGTTTCTGGGTACCCTGTAATTGAGCATAAATGTGTTTGCTTAAACGTTTGTTCTGCTATTCTTGACTACTGCTGGAAACAAAGATAAGCCTTTGAACAAAAAGTTTCAGTTGAAAAACAATCTGTTTTGTCCAGAAGCGAATTTTATGTTAAATTTTGTTATTTTGTACTGCATCTTAATTCTTTGTCGAACGATCACGTCAAACAAAAAGCACACAGTGTATATGACATGAAATGTGTGAGTCTGAAAGTTTGCGTGTATGTGCGCGTGCGTCTGTATGTATGTTCATATCGCGTGTGATCTGGAGTGCTCGTGCTTGAGTGCACGCACGAGTACATATTTATAATAATTTTTGTTACAAAATGCTTCGAAACCACTTTTAAAAAACGGGATTGGCACTCTGAACGCTTTTGTTCTTTTTTTCCCTCTGTTGTTTCTGTCTAGAATCTATGTCTTTCTTTTCCCCTTCACCATTGTTGTGTCAATGTCTTTCTCTGTACTAAAGTTGTGAACGTGTGTTATAATATTATTCTCCCTTCCATTGCCTCTCTCAAGTTATACTTCCGGAATTACAAGAGTGTTACCCTCCAAAGCCTTTACTGCTTGTTGGTGTAGATATTTATTAGGTTGATGTTTATAACCGTGTTATTGCGCATGCGCGTTGAAACTACTCACTCAGCTGCTTCCTACAAATAATGCGGAAATTACAGCAGTGATAGTTAGTGAACACGGTGTATGTGAAGTTTTTGCTCACTGTGGACTATAATATTTAGAAGCTCAAGGTGGTTGCAGTGTTTGTTTGAACGAAAATTATCTTTAAATTCATAGTGATTGCGCTGGCACCTCAGAAGTATAGCTATGTGACCCAAATACAATGGACAAGGTTACGTCCCTTGTATGATAAACATGGCAGATCTTGAGAAAGTCTCATAGATCAAGTATGACATTGAGGATACTTGTTTGCCTTTTCCTTTCACTTTGACGATATGTTCGCTTCTGGAGACAGTCCATCACAAGAACATTTTTCAAAATGGAAAGGGATTTTCACAAATGCATTGATAGGGGTAAGTTATCTCTCTGCACTGATTATCTTTGCTAATCAGACATTGCAAAACCAACTAAATAACTTAAAAGTTCTTTCCTTGAATTCCCAGTAATCAGTAATCCTGGAAGAGATCTATAGATTTATGGATGTCTAGATCTAGATCTAGATTTAGAATCTAGATCTAGATACTACTGATATCTATCTAGATCTATACACACTACTCAGACTCCGACAAAAATCTTAACTGCAGTCAGTGTGAGTGTACTGCACTCTAGACTTACCTAGATATCTAGATTCTAATATCGAACTCTAGATTCTATGTCAGGTTATCATAGAGATATGGTATTATATCATAGATAGCCTAGGCTATGACAGGAGGTTAACATACAAGTACAAGATGAGTGATGATCTTATCTTTTTGTATTGTAATGATTTCCTTCACTTTTACATTTTTTAAATGGTTTCATGTGTAGAATTGTACTCAATTTCATGTAATTATGTTGTTGCTTTGAGTTGATTAAAATCATCACTTCATCAAGTTTTGATTTAATGTTTAGAAATTAAAAGAAGTTACAGTTTGAAAGGAGTGTATAGTCTCTAAATGCAAGGATAAAAAGTATCACCACGAGTATAGTAAATATTTTAAAATGATAAAGAAACAGAATCTAACTTCTTATTTAAAGTTTTAAGAGAATGAGTTCACAATTTTTGTGTAGTTGAAGTTGGTTACCTTATTATATTTTACTACCATCTCATGCTCAGGTATTGTGTAGTCCTTCACTCGTTCATTTATACCTCTACTATTTTACTCAAACGTTGACTTAAGCTATTAAATGTAGATCTAGATCTATATCTGTTGCAAATTTATAGATTTTGAAATATTTTATGATTTTTATTCTTCAAATAGACTAGTTTTTTTTAAAATACACTAATAAGCCTGATTGTGTAACTTAAAATTGACGCACTGTGGACCAGTTTGGGTGACTTCAGAGAGGGCATGCCCCCAAGGTAAAAAAAGGGCTGCAGTTATTCGGACCCGCGGACTGCCAATAATCTTGTCACTATTCGGACCCGCGGAATGCCAATAATCTTGTTACTATTCGGACCCCCGGGAACAGGTATTAGTATGGGATGCATTTGTTTATATTCTCACCCGCGGTGAAGAGGCATAAAACGTATTGGTGAGTTAGTTTTAGTGTTTTCGAAAAGCACAGTGACTATGCCCAAATGTAGTTTGCAGGCTATGATGATTTTCCATGTAAATGGAGTCAAATTTGTCTTCAGCAGGCAAAACAAACTATAAAAAAAGTACACACACAGAACCTGGACTTGACTCCTGTTCTGTTCTGTGCCGAGATGCGAGAGTCTCTCACTGAGCTCCTCATGTCTAAGTGGGTCAATTTGTTATAATTTCATTGGACGAACATTCAGAGCTACCAACTTGGCGTGTTTTGAATGAGACGTACGCCTCGGTTAGATCTATGAACCAATGCAGGCGGTTCTACAAGTAGACCACAAACCCACACAAAACTCAAACAGACTGACGCACACACACAGTCATCACATGGAGGGCCGAATTGAATTAATTGATACGTGCTCCAACCGGAACCTGGACAGCAGGGGTCTAAATACGGAATCCGGAAAGAAGGGGTGTCGGAGTAATTATCTGATTAATCACACCCCCGGGGTCTGAATTATGACATCGAAAAAAAATCTGGATGGTTATAGTAGGGGTCATGCCGCCTTGTTTTTCTCCATAATTAAATGTTTTACATAAAAATTTGGGTTTGAAATTTTCTCGAGAGTAATTGTTGTGACAATTTTAATGGCGATGTCATACGACATGATGATCTGCAGCAAAAAATACAGCTGTTTTGACCCTCAAAAGTAGTGTATCTTTGTGTGTAAGTGAAATATAAATTTACACTGTAGTTTGCACCACTAGTGACTAATCTAATGCTAACCTTTTACATTTTTTTTACAGGTATTCAGACATAAATGAATTAGAAATGCAGTTTTGTTTTGTTCTAAATGAGTTCAAGATGAAAAAATGTCTGGAATACCTATACTATAGTGGTGACTTAGTACACTCCGTAGTGCTCACAACTGTTCAGCTTATGATGCAAGAGATTCAGTCTGTAGAGTTACTGTTACTTCACTAACTTGACCATTCCTAGTTTAGAAATGTCAAGTGTCACCAGGCCTTCTCGATAGATTGACTTTTTGAGACAGAAGTAAAAATTTCCTCTTTGTAGCCCAGGTTTTGTGAGCCCCTGGTTTTTTTATTCACTTTATGCTAGTGTTCAAGTGCCCATCGCTCTTTAGGATAACGCAGGTAGTCCTTCGTTGCCGAAGATGACGATGAAATCCTGCAGCTCATCTGTGGACGCGTATGTGGCTGTGCAATCCGATCTTGGATGTACAATATCTGTTGCAGTGGGGACACTGGAATGTCGTGGTTGGGGTGGTTAGATTGCCTCCTCTCTCTTCTGATAGTCAGCTTCTCTGTGTAGTTGATATAATCGCTGTTTTTGCTGGCAAGATGGGCAGCCCTGTGTTAGGCGTTCCTTTTGGTGGCAGTTCTTTCGAGTTTTCTTTCGGTGGCAGTTCTTTCGAGTTTTCTTTGGTGGGTAATTGTATTTGAAACGCTTTTTTGGCCTCCCAAGATTTCTTTTGCTTCTTGCAAGATCGCCATACAGCAGTTTTTTGGGCATTCAGTGGTCTTCCATGCGGATGACATGGCTGACCCATCTCAGCTGGACTTTGACAAGCGTGCTTGATCGGTTGAGGACCTTAATGTTGGTGATGCGGTCTTGCCACCGGATGTCAAGTATACTACGGAGAGCCCTTTGGTGGAACTGCTTTAATTTGTTGATGTGCTTCCTGTAGAGTGTCTAGGTCTCCGAACCATAGAAGGGGGAGAGCACAACGGCTTTGTACACTAATAGGATAGTACTGGTATGATTTTGACAAAATTCTGTTAAAGATTAAAGTGCTGTACAACATTGAATTTATAAGCATTTTAAGGTAATCACCCCCCCCCCCCCCCCCCCCCCCGGACAACATTCCAAGGATGAAGTTGAAGATACTTTTGTTTCAATGAATTTCGTTGCAACATCAGACAGAGCATGTCAACATGAGGTAAAATACCATTTAGCATATATCTGGGTCCCCTTTCGATGAAAGGAATGATCGGTGCATTAACATCAAGTGAAAGTCATTGGCCTACTATTACACTCTACTGGAATGGAGCAATAAATTTTGAGAGAAAAGTGACACACGTGACGTGTTTCCAAGTTGCCATATATAATATAACGAAAGGATCACAGTCGAATTTAGCACCAAGTAAAAAAAGAAAACATGAGGCTAGATCTAGATTTTTTCGGGTCGCTCACATAAAATAGTGCTCTGTATTGGGCAACAATGCGCGATAGTGTCGAACGGAAGTACGACTTGAAATAAACAAACTGGGCAGATTTTCTAAAATTACAGAGGAAGAAGCGTCGGCCTACAAAAGCAATCAACGAAATAAAGAAATTTAGCTTTTTGCAGCAAAACTGTCTCAAGACTGAAAAAACAACGGGTGTCACGATATGGAGAATATTTTAAAGAATCTTTTGGCGAAAACCGCATGTCAATCGATGTAGCCATTAAAAAGCCTTTTGAAATAGCAAAATTCGGCCACCACAAATACTTCAAATAGATAATAGATGTCTAACTTTATCCATGGTAAGTTTTTTTTTACTGAAAAGTTAGCCTTGCAAAACCCAGTTGAACTCTTTACTTATTCAACTAAACTGACTAAGAGAAATTGAAAATAAATGGTATACTCTCTTTTAGTTTTTTCCGTTATTTAGAAAGTGTTTTTTGATGTTTTTGTGGCTAACCTTTTTAGTCCATCTTTTCCACTCTTTCTTTATTTTATTGTCTTGTTTCAGCAAAGAATGTAAACACTGCCTGCCAGATGTGGCCGGTGCAGTCACAATGAGTCTTCTTTCCACTTTTAGGGTAGTCAGCATGCTTTATGTTTTGCCGAAAACCATCTGGCTATGAATATTCTTATTCTTTTCTTTTGCGTTCCCCTGCTAGATCTCAGGGGTAGTTAAGTACTTGTTCTTCAAACTGCAATGTAACTGATTTTATGTTCATGTGACGGTTTTTCCTACTTAATGGCATCCTTTGCCTCCGGGCAGCCCCTTTCCAATTTCGAAGATACCTTAATTCTTTTTTTATATTTTTATACTGATGAGATTATATTTTCAGTTTTGGTAGGAATGTTTAATTTTTGCCTGGGTGGTGACCAAGCCTACTCTGGTCAATTTTAGAACCACCAAGCGATCTTAATTGTACGCAACTTGAACTTGCCCACTGGACCTCCCGAGATTTTTCGCCATTGTTTAACAAAGTTCAGTGTTCAATCTTCCCAACCCTTAGATCAGGGGTGGGGCTGAAAGAAAGCAGTGAGAAGGCTCAAGGAGTAGCAGCAGAAAGAGTTAGAAGGAGTAAAAGAGAGAGGAACCTAAAGGAGGTCTGGATTGGTGGGAGATGAAAGCACACATGACAGAACAGGACTAGAGAATAGGAAAGTAGGCGAAAGGAGAACATTTTTTGATTGCTTTCAGTTTTCGAACAGGGGACCTTTAAAATGAGAGGCAAACACCGTTCACCATACCTGTAAATCACAAGAACCCTGCTGTGGAAATTAAAAGCACTACATAGCCTTGCTCTCCCTTGTGAGAAAGTGACATCAGATCTAAGAATGTGCCATGTTCGTAAACTTTTGTATCCTTTTGTGTTGTATTCATCCTATGTATAATGCTCTTTGCTGTTTGGTAGAAAAAAGTGTAGTTTCTACTGTAAGCCTGATTTGGTTGTGTCAGAATTCTTATTTTTATTTTTACAACCACAAAACAGTCAAAAATGTTGTTAGGGTCACAGCTCTACAGTTTTAATGTGCTGAAAAATGAGCAAAAATGTGTCGTTAAATAGTTTTTGTTACAGCATTTCCATTTCTTATATGGAGTATTCGGTGAATGATTAATTTTGTGCCCATAGAGTAAAGATAAAAGTCTTTAGTGAGAGACTATATTCTGTCTGAAGGACTGGGTTTGGAGCTTCACTTACCTTTTAGGCAGGTTATAGTTATAAAGAGTCAAATCTTTTTTTGCCTCACTTAGCCCCACTGTTTGTATGAATTGATAAAAATTTCAACATTTATGAAATGCAATTGCAATAGTGGGGGAGTCTACAGGTTTTTATAGTTTGTGAAATAAGTCCTTTATCTCTATAACCTCGAATGGGAGTGTTGTGTGAATCTTACCCCGTCCCCGAGTGGAAGGTCCCAGCATCTGGTCAGGTTGGAGAATGCCTGAAGCATTAAGTTGCTAATGCAGTCTCTTAGGAATCCGTATAGATTTATTTTGACTCTGAAGTGTCAGATAAATATATAAACTACTCCTTCTTTCACTTTGACACTGTTTTAGCCATTTTATATGTTTTGCATGTATACCCCATTGCGTATTTCACATATGAACAAAAAAATTGCGTCAAAACATGGAAAATAATTCTGAGGTTAAAGAGTTTAAATGCACTCAATAGGTTTCTATTTTTCGTTCTTCTTTCTGACCGGAACTTGACTTTTAAGCTTTTTCAGTGGATGGCTGGCGAGTGCTCTGGTGTGGTTTGCTTCTTCTTTCCTATCAAATATCTATCGTCTTATGTCCCCTCCTTTTTTTGTGTGTTCGTTATTCCCATTTAACACCTCGAATCTTCTACACTTATATGACCTTATTGTGTTGCAAGTGCCATAAAACACTTACTGTGGGTGGTTGGCGGGTGCTTTTGTGTGGTTTGCTCCTTCTTTCTTATCAAACATCTATCGTCTTTATCTCCCCTCCTTTTTTATGTTTGTTACTCCTTTGTAACACCTCTAATCTTCTGGCGCTCATATGACCTGCTGCGGGCGCCATAAAACCTCTACTAATTAAACTAAAAACTAAAAAACACTCACTAAAACAAAAAAAAAAGCTTTTTCAGTTAGTTTGTGTTGTGTACTAAAAGAGGTGAGGAGGGAAGAACAGGATGAGGAATGCCAAATGTAAAAATTTGATCTATTATAGTATAATCATATATATAGGTCAGATTTTTGTACACATGTACTTCCATTGTGTATGTCTGTTTTTTAGATGTATGTCTGTTTTTTAGATGAGATTAGAGAAAGAGATCCATTATTGTCTGTAACGCTCTTCTTGCTTTCTTTTATTTCTTAACCCCCAGGTCCAGAAGCAGGTGCACTCAGGCTTGTCTACCCAACAGGATGCCCTGGAGTACATAGAGATCCTGATGATTCGGCTTCTTGTTGTTCTTTGTTCGACTCAACCTCATACGAAGGAAGATGTAGATGAAAGGATTAGCAAAACTTTCCCTGATCCCATTGATAAATGGGCTATCAGGGATGCTCAAAATGCAGTCAAGGATGGCAAAAAGAACTGCAAAATTCTCCTCCCTGTAGATAGAATCCAGCCCCTTCTCAAGGTGAGGAAGGTCCCATGATACAGTTAAAGCCAGTCAAAACGGTCACCTGTATAATAAAACAATCACCTGTACAAAGGACCATTTCCCATTCCCCCTTTGTGTCTTTTTAACATCATAGACCTTACATTGCCTAATACGAATAGTTACATTGTGTAAGACATTCGGCTGTCTAAGACGGCCACTTTTCTGCTCAACAATGGGTGGCCATCTTAAACGATTTCAACAGCTTGTTTTGAAATGAGATAAGGAATCAGTAGTGTGTGTGTGCGTGTGTTTGGTGTGTGTGTGTGTGTGAGAGAGAGAGAGAGAGAGAGAGAGCTTGGCTATGTAATATCTTGGCGTCTTTCTTGTTGTTCATAGTAGTAGAAGTATTGTGATGGAAGTATATTTGAAAAACCAAAAGCAGAATTTTTTTAGGGGGATGAGAGGTAGGAGGTGACGAAACGGCTGCAGCTGAGATAGATTCAATTTAGCATTATAACAAATAAATTTGAGTTGCTTTTCCTCTCGGAGATCATGCACCCTTATTTTTTAATTGTTTGTATGTAATCGGGATCTTATTAAAAAGACATAAAAGAATGTTTTGTTTATGATTGAACCTGGTTTAGTTCTTTATATGAAATCTACAGCTTTTTTGACATAGGTTGTTTTAACATTATCATGGAATATATATGTAGCATTCTTTGAAGTAGTGGTTAAAGTTAATTTCATTCCTCACTAATGTATCAAAATAAAATGTTAATTAATCAAACCACTTTTAGATTTCATTTGTTAACAGAACTTTCTCATGATTTTGCATTTGTTTGGTGCTGTACTGTACATGTGTAAGAGTACTAATGGGTTTGTTGGCAAGTGGTTATAGTGTTATCAGGTTACTAACATCTTTTCATTGTTTTGTTTTTTTCTTGTTTGTTTTTTTTAAGGAGGAGCTTGGTGGCTACAGGGTAGACATTTCCCTGGCTCTGTACATAGTCGCAGTGTTGGAATATATTGCTGCAGACATTCTGAAGGTATTTGTTCTCTTTGTGCTTGCTTGTTTTGGGGTGTCATTTATTTTGATATTTATGTTGTTTCGAAATGAAAAAATTCATTTATATTGAATTTATGTCATGTTGACATAGAACAGAGTACAATGGTGTCCACTTAACTTACGCACTACTGTACTGTGCTCTTTGATGTGTCCAGTTTACTTATTGTATACACTGTAGAGTTAAAGTTCCTTTCAAGATTTTTGTTGTCCACTGTTTGTGACGGCAGATTGTGTCTTTGGCTTTGAGACATTCTGAAATTCTTCTTTACTTTGAACACTTTGGGATCCGTAGTTCATTTTGGGATGGGACTAAAGGTGTTTTGACTTGTATGAGCATCTGACAGTGAGTTATTGTTTACAAGTTGCTGTTTGAATATTAAACAACACTTTTATGGACCAATAAGAATTCTTTTTTTTTTGTAGAGAGAGGAGGGAGGTTAATGTAAATCATTTTTATTTTGTTCAATTTTGACTTGCCAACATGGAAGGCACCCAACAATACAGAACACAGACTGGAATTAACTTCAAAGCTTACGGTGATTTCATTTGATTGTATCCCTTATCTGAGTGTACTTTTGCATCGCATAGATTTTCTTGTTTTGAAGCAGACAGATTTCTTATATTCCTCACTAGTCTAGTGCAGCAGACATTTCGTGCTCCTTTTTTTCATCCAGTCTCTTTTTAATTAAGAAAATATTCTTTCTACTCTCTTTCTTTCTTTCTTTCTCTCTCTCTCTCTCTCTCCCTCTCTCTCTCTCCCTCTCTCTCCCTCCCTCCCTCCCTCCCTCCCTCCCTCCCTCCCTCCCTCCCTCTCTCCCTCTCTCCCTCTCTCCCTCTCTCCCTCTCTCTCTCTCTCTCTCTCTCTCTCTCTCTCTCTCTCTCTCTCTCTCTCTCTCTCTCTCTCTCTCTCTCTCTCTTTTAAAGATAGGATATTGATTCTCACATTTTTCTTCAACAGATATCAGGAATTTATGTAAAAAACATTAGACATACAGAAATTACTTCACAAGACATCAAAGTAGCAATATGTGCAGATCAGGTGAGTCTTCATTCTTAAAAACTGGACTGTAACATGCATGGCAACACCAGACTAGTTAAATGAATTGGTCTCTTTTAAGCACAAGGGGGCAATCCCGAAAAATGCTGCTTTGAGAAAATCGAAGGTACAGTAGTCTCCGCCTAAACGCACAGTGCTCGGGAGAGCTCCTTAGCGTGTGTTTATAAGGAGCGTGCGTTTACATGAACCTTTGCAAGGGGAGGAAGGGACGCAGTCATCTCTATTCCTTATTACTCTAGTGACCTCCCTTGGAGGAGGGGGTCATTTTGGCAGATAATAATGTGACGTCACGTGACTGTTTTGTGAAGGATTCCCCGACAAGGGTTAAGAATACAAAGGCGTTGAATAAGGGGGTGGGGGGAGAGAGAAAGACAACCTTAATGTAATTAATATGCACGGTAAACGTCGGGAACAGATAGCCTAAGAGGAAACTGTTTGTGATAGTCATAGAGACGATGGACCAGCCACGTGGCTTTTCCAAGCGACCACCCCCGACCGTAAATTCATGCGGAATCATCCCCGAGAAACATTTCTCTTGTGATTAGTTGAACAAGTACGTTACAATGTATAAGTTCCTCGAGTGCAGCTGAATAGGCTTAAATCTACTTGGCTAATCTTTAAAATCCTATAGAGGCCTGTCTAGTGTTTTACAGCATTCGCGCGTGTCGCACATCAGGCCTAGTCTAGAAGATTTAATCTAACTAAACATTACACGCAGTCACTCAAACACCAGTCAGAAACCTTTTCTCAAGTAAGATGGATCTACCTTTCCAGCGACCGATCAAAAAACATTTCAGTTTCCCCCCCACCCAACATTTAACTGACCAGCCCTAGATCGAGACCTTTGCGTCAGTGGAAAGTAGGGTGTGTAAACGCAGTCCATCACTCTCTTTGTACAGCGTGAGGGGCACTCTCACCAAATATCCGGTTTTCTAGTGAATTCTAGGCTTGTCTTACACAGGCTGTGCAGGTTGTCGTGGAAATTTCCTCTTGCCAAGCTTAACTTGTCGGTGTGTTAAGCGTATCGGAGCGTGCGTTTAGAGGGAGTGACCGTGTGTTTGTACGTCTAAATTATATAGTGAAAAACCCGTCAGATGACGAAAGCGTGCGTTTGAGCGGAGCGTGCTTTTGTATGGCGTGCGTTTAGGCGGAGACTACTGTAAAGTTTTTGGACCCTTGTTCAGTTTCTTTAAAAAACTGGGAGTGTTTTCTCTGTAACCAAACAGATTTACACACCAATGAAACCAAACTTCTCTTATAGGTAGGGCAATGCCCACTTTTGGTTTTGGTCAAGATTTCTGGAAACCTCCGAAATCTGGGTTAGCCCGCTTGTTTTTAAAAGCGACCAACTGATTTCATCGGTGAGCTGTTCAACTAGTCAAGGCCCCAAAAGCATAATATTTCATTCTATTTAAAAATTGTACCTAGATCTACTATATGTATTTTTTTCTTGCTTTTTTCTCCTCAACATTTAGAATTTGAATTCAACCAATTATTTCTCAAGCACGTGCAACCGATAGGACGGGTAAAGAAACTGCAATTTAAAAAAATTCGAAGTTTATAACAATTGGCCAATGACTACTGTAGAATCCACTGGAAAATTTGAAGACCGTTGGTCAGTTTCTGTGTTTTTCCAACACTGTCTATGGCCTGTGTTATACCAAACTAATCATGTGTTTGTGACTGCATATCTCTTTCATGTGTTTCTTATACTGTTCTTTGCTTTACTGCCGGTTATGTTCACTTTATACTCACTTCTTACTGACAGGTGAAGCTACATGTCTAATCTTTCAGTAGCCAGATGGTCATAGGTGCAGAAAGTGTGCTGGATGGTGGGGGGGGGGGGGGGATGCTTTCCACGTTTTCTCCAGGGTTGGAAATAGTAATGACACAGGAAAAGGGCTATACTTTCAATATATACATAGATAGTGGCCTAATTGTTTTTATTTCTCAGAGATTCTCAGCAAGCTGAGGGATACAGACATGGTCAAATCTGCTCTTATAGCCACCTGTCCAGGACAATCACAAACAACCACTTCCCACTTGCGTTTTAAAAATATAAGAATGACATTCATTGTTCAAGGTGTCCACCCGTCTAAGACAACTGTTTTTCTCCTCTGCTGTCTATGGTTGTCCTGGACAATTTCGACTGTAGTTAACTTTGCCTACCACAGAGGCAAGCATCTGTTGTTGGTGGGGCGACGCTCATCTCGTATGCAAAGAGATAACATCTTTTCACCATTCTTCCTATGTCTTCTGTATCCTCTCAGTCATGCTGGTAATTGGTACAAGGGTTCAGATTAGGGGAAAGAATGACCCTATTAATCCTATAATGGGGACTACATCTGAAATTATCTTTTCATGTTTAGCAGTTCGTTAATCCCTTTTAATTATTTAATACCGCATGGGATTTATCATAAATCACCTTTAACTGGTTCCAATTCAGTTTGAATGTAATGTTTCCTTTCACAATGTGTTGCCCATAAGAGGATGCAGTCTACTTTTTGGTCTTACACTTGTTTTATATATATATTTCTGTTGCTCATGTGTTGTTATCAAAGCTGCACATTACCATGGCAGATAGTGGTTTGTTTTAAAATGGTCCTGGCTCTGTCCCGAGATAACTTGGTTATTAGTTTATGAATAGGTGGGTCATTATGTCTTTTATGTCTATTTGCAGGTCTTGTACGATATGTTCTTCCAAGAGGAAGAACCATTTTTTATGGTACAAGACGAACCGGTGAAGAGGGAAAACAAAACATATGAAGAGATTGTCAAAGATCTCATCGTGGAGGAGACACAATACCTGCGAGATCTCAACATGATCATTCGTGTCTTCCGTGCTCCATTTGCAGAGTTTTTTCCTCCTACAAAGGTATTATTATATTTTGCAGTTACATTATTAAAAGCGTAGCAGATTTTTTGTTTTACCGGCGCTATTTCTTTCATTAATTAATATTTCACTAATATTACAGAGCAAATGTTTGGCAGGATATAACGGTATTGTATGGTTAATGCTTTTAAAGATTGTAATACTTGGAATCAGCCTTCAGAGCCTCATTAAAAAATCTTAATAGAAGCTTTTTACCAGTGCTTCCAGTTTTCCGCTAATGGAAAAATTTCCGTGAAAATTTGTGCTAAAAGAATAATTTTTAAATTGTGAAATAAATATTTTTCGTAATCAGTAACAGTCAACAATAACCAACCCGTACCGGAAGTGCTCTTTTAAATATGAAAGTGTAGACAGTGTTTTTCACTTCTAAAGCACAAACAGAGCACCAGCACTGTAAACAACAGGAAAAAATGTGGTTCAATAGATCTTCGGCCTGCCAAGAAAAGAAAACTGAAGAGAGCTTCATTTTTTTATCAGACTTGTTTATTTGTAAATATTGTTGTGGATTTAAGTTGAACATAAGCTGTCACGTTATTTAGATCTCGATCTAGCTGTTATACTATTATGGGTGTACAGTACAAGGGAAAACAGCATGGCCTTGGACTTGGATAATATGGATTCTACAGGGGCTCTTATGGCCCAGAGGTTAAGGTGTTCACCTTTCATTCAAAGGTCCCGAGTTCGAATCTGGGTAGCGACAAAAAAAATTTTCTTCCATAAAATTGTCTCCTTTCACATCCTTTCCTGCTCTCTAGCGATGTTCTGTCATCTGCTTTCGTCTCCACTTTCTGCCCCCACCTCCTTTGCCCCCTCCTCTAGGCTCCAGACTCTTTCTGCAGCCCTTCTACTGCTCACCTTGGCTCCTTCTTACTGCTGACTTTCAGCCAGACCCCTGATCTTGTGGTAGGAAAGATCTACACCTAGCTTTCTCGGACAAGGGTGAAAAATCTTGGAGGTCCCGTATGCAAGTTGTGCACGTTAAAGATTCCTTGGTGGTCTGAAACTGATAAGAGTAGGCTTCGGCCGCCATCCGCGCAAAATTCAAAATTTCCTACCAACTGAAAATGTTAAATGTGTCCCGTGCGCTCATATGGCCTTGTGCAGTTGCGAGCGCCGTAAAGCACTTACCAAAGAAAGAGAAGATGGATTCTACACATGGTGCAAACCAACACAAGCAGAAAAAAGTTGAACTTTAATTTATAGATCTAGCTGTTATACTACTATTATGGGTGTACAGTACCGGTAAAAGGGAGAAACCATGGCCTTGGATTTATATGGATTATTAACATAAACAGAAAATAAAGTAGGGCCTAGGCAAGGTATGTTTTTTTCCTCACTTATTTTCTTGTTAAATTTAGGCTTGAAGAGCCAGAAATGGCATATTTAGGATGCCCTGAAACAAAAAAAATGTCCTACGTTAGGGACGTCCCCTTCTACCCCCAGCATCCTTGAAAAGTGATATAAGCTGCTGGAAGCTCTGTATCACAGAGAAGGTTTGTTCCTCATATCTTTTTATTTCAGTATCTAGCTTTTCAAAATTGCAATTCTTGCTCTTCCATGTTTAAAAAAATTCCATATATTGTTTCTTTTCCTCGATTTTCCCCTTATGATTATTTTTTGCTAATGTTTATCTTCCAGGACCTTGAAGTGATATTCAGCAATGTGCTGGACATTTATGATTTTACCGCAAAGCTCTTGAGCTCTGTGGAAGATCAGGTGGAGATGGCCCAGGAGGGGGAGACGCCTTTGGTAGGAACGTGTTTCACAGACTTGACTGAGGTGAGTGTTATTACTGTTAAGAAGCAGGGGAGGGGGGGTTGTAAGGTAGGTTCAAGTAATTGATTGTACTGGTTTTCTTTTTGGTTTGTTATCCTGGAGCTCATGCCATAACTTTTTGGCAGTTGTTTATATTATACTCTCTCATAATTTCACACCGAAGGCATTTCCAGTAGGTACACACGACTAACTTGTAAGCTTCAGTACTTTAAAAAAGGGGGGAAAGGGGGGGGCGAGGGATGTCATCAATGTCAGTGTACCAGTTGCAAAAGACAGCTATCTGTAGCTGTGTGAAGTCACTCAAATTTAAAGGATCAAGCACATTTTCACCTGAAGTAAGAGTTCACTCACATAGTCATTACTCATTATATTTTTGGCACAAAAAGAGCCAATGGGATCCCTTAGGTATTTCTGAATTAACTGTGACTAGAGGAGACGTAAGCTTATATGAAAAGCCTTATATAGATACCATTGTTAAGAAAAGTCTTATGCAGATATAATTGTAAAATACTGACACTTTCAAACCCAAAATCGTTAATATTGAAATATGAGTTCCCCCACCTCTGTTCCCTCACTGTACTTTGCAGTATTTCTTTCACTGACTTTTCTTGTTTCCTTTGTTAAAAGTTTACTCCGAACCTGTTGGATTTTATTTTTTTAATCATGTCACAGTCTGCTTTTTTTTTCTTTATGCCAGCCTGACTTCCAATAATGATACTAAAAGAAAATGAATGTTGCTAATAAATATTAATTTTGGATGTTTGCAGGGTGAAGAGTTTAGTGTGTATGAACGCTATGTTCGGGACATGATGGCCCCAAATGGCAAGCGAAGGCTTGAGGTTCTACTCACAAGGCCAGATTTTATCAGTAACCTCAAGGTGGGTTGTCATTTCTGTCTTTTTTTCTTTCTGTTTTTCTTTTTTCTATTTTCTTTTTTCTTTTAAAGAAAATTCACATCAGTTCTGGCTAGGTTTATTAATGTTCACTGCCAGAGATTTTGGTTTGGTTGGAGATAAGTGTTGTATCACTGTGCTGCTACCTTGGGTTTGGGGGGGTCCATTATTTTGTAGAACTCTATGTTCTTGAAAGAAGGTTATAAAACCGTGAGTGTGAAATATATATGTCAGGAGTGCGTCAAGATACTTCTTTCAAAGTGGCAATGAAGCTAAATTTTCCTGTCTCACAGACTTAATAATTTGGAGAAGTAAAATTGAAAATGCAAATTAATTTTGGTTGTCTCCCCAGAATAGATTTGTTCAGCTGTTTTGAATATTGTGCTCTTACATTAGTGCATTACGGTGATAATGTTTGTTCTTCGGTTATCAAAGAATCAAGATTGTTTTTTTCGCTGTTAGTCCAGTGCCTTGTTAAATATGTATTTATCAGCAAGTAAACCTTCTCTCTGAAATAAAATTTAGTCAAATTACTGTATAAAAGAATGGTACGGTTTAGTTTCATAGCAAGTTTTATTTATTTGTATTCTCATCGTTTACTTGCCATTTTGTGACCTGTTGATGTGATGTGACCTCATGCTGTGTTTGACAATCTTTTTTGTAGGGCTTGGGAAATGGGTTCTACGAAGCCTTCAAGTACGTCTTGCCTAAACTCCTTATGGGCCCCGTGTACCATTGTCTTCAGTATTTTGAAGTTGTAAAGGTGAGTTAAAACATCATTTGTTTAGTTTTTTAAGTAATGAATTAAGAAAAAAAATGGCTACTGTAAGTTGTAACATAGGCAAGCTGAGGTGAATCATTAGGTTGCAAAATAGATCTGCCACAGTAAAGTTTGAACCTGGATAGGATAAAGCTATTTTTGTTTTACTTTCAAAAATATTTCCTCTCAGCCCAGTGTCCTGATGTGGAAGAAATTTTGGTTTCTACTCACCTCATTTCTCACCTGTGCCTATAGCGGGCGTGGTGTATTGGCCTTGATCGGGTCAATTCAAAGAGAATGGCACAGGGAAAAAAGTTAAGGTTTTTTACTAAAATCTTCACATCCATGTCTTTGAATGAATTGTTAATGCGTGCTGCTGGTATGCCCATTTTTTTTTCTTTCTAATCCTCTTTTATTTTAGTTTTTGCCTTGCCTTTTCTCAGCACTGAGTCCATTATTGCGTTGATATGCTATATTTTGGACATTAACTCATATATTGATGTGAGTGATTGGTGGGTTCTCTGGTGTGGCGTGCTCCTTTTCTCCTGCCATGCATCTTTTGTCCTTATCTCTCCTTTTTTTTTCTTTGCATGTTATTGTCTAGTCAACCTCTAACCTTTGGCACGTATATGATGACTTATTTGTGTTGCAAGTGTCCTAAAACTGTCACTAAGACTTGACATTGGTGGGGATTGCTCTTGTTCTGTACAGGCCTTGATCCAGGCAAGCCCGAGTGAGGAGGATAAAGAGTGTCTCACCCAAGCTGATGGCCTCCTGCAGGCTCTGAAGGCCAGGTTGGAGCGCAAGCTGGGGAACATTCCCAAGAGGAAAAACTGGTAAGTACTGGCCCTCTCGTCTTGTGGTATTGTGTCGTGATTTTCAGCACAGTTGTCAGCGGAGTTCTGTTTGTGTACAAGAATATTGTTCTGATAAAGCAATTTTTATATTGCCCCCCCCCCCCCCCCCCCTTTTTTTTATCCCTCTCTCTCTCTCTCTCTCTCTCTCTCTCTCTCTCTCTCTCTCTCTCTCTCTCTCTCTCTTCTCTCTCTCTCTCTCTCTCTCTCTCTCTCTCTCTCTGTGGGCCAAAGGCCTTTCAGATCTATAAAATCTTGAAATCTGAATCTCTCCCTCCCTCTCTCTCTCTCTCCCTCCCTCTCTCTCTCTCCCCCTCTCCCTCCCCCCCTCCGTCCCTCCGATTGTTTTCCTCTGTGTCAGTTTGTGAATATGAAAAGTTGAAGGTTGTTGTTTGTTTTTTAATGTCAGTCATAACAGGTGGTTGTAGCAGATCTAATGAAAGTCCTGCTCCCATACTTTTTTACTTTCTACTGTTACTTGACATGTGCGTTTGATCATTTTTGAGCCGACATTCGATTCTCGAATAGGGAGAATTTTTATAGAGTATATCGACCTTCCTGTTGAGATGATGTATCCCTCTCAGCCAGGGTTGGCCCTGACAGGCAGGGTCAGAGGCTCGTCCTTAAAAGATCTAAATTGATGGGGATGTGGGAAACACCTACCTTAAAATCTTTCTTTAAATTTGTTTTTGAGGAGCGTTCGTTCAATGGCCAGTCCCTTGAGGGGTTGGGAGACAACAAATAAACCCAGTACTTAACCTCAGAAGATGTAAGCCCTCAAATAGTCTCATAGAACACATGAACACATATATCAGTAACATGCACATCATATTTCCTGTTATGTATTGTCTCTGCCTTCTATTCCTTGTTTCTCCGTTTTGCTTTTTCTTTTCCTCTGAGTTGAATCTTTTATTTCTGAAATAATCTGTGAGTGGTTGGCGGGTGCTCTAGTGTGGTTTGCTTCTTCTTTCCTATTAAACATCTACCGTCTTTATCTCGCCTCCTTCTTTTTTATGTTTGTTACTTTGGTCTTGTAACACCTCTAATCTTTGACACTTATATGACCTTATTGTTGCAGGTGCCGTAAAACACTTCCTAAAACTAAACTGAAATAATCTGTTTATGTCTAGTGGGGTACATAATATCCTAAAAGAAAATGATATAATGGTTTCTGTCTCCACAGGGAGGTTTCTTTGCGAATGCACACCCACTCAAGGTCGGCCACTGTCCAAAAGATGAATGAGATCCAGAAAAGTATTGATAGCTGGGATGGCAAGGACATTTATCAGATGTGCAGTGACTTTATTATGGGTAAGCTTTAATAGCAGTTAAAACACATCATCCTTTCGTGTTGTATGTGGGAACAGTGTGGTACAAACATACAGTGAAAAACCTGTCGAAACGGCCAGAAAGATTGTTGATCTGTGTCTGATAGCCTTCATTGTCAAGTGTGCGTCTGAAAAGGGTTGATGATATTGAGCATAATTTAGCTCTTCTTTTACATCAGTCTGTTGTCCAGCTCCATACATTCAGGAACAAGACTGAGTGGAACAAGGAAGGCAAGTGTTTTGTTCCCCTTGCATTCTTTTCTGAGATAAAGTAACAGATCTTCAGACCCTTGTACTCCCTTTTAATTGGTCAGACTGTCCATATATTTTGTCTTGTTATTTCTTTTCATCATTTTCATTGAGTACTAAGGCACTGATAATTAACTACTTTTTCCATTCTATTGCTCAATGATAACCAATGTTTTGCTATTGTTCACATTGTCAGAGGTAATGGACAGTTTCCCTCCCTTTTCCACTTTCCTTTCACTTTTGTCTCCCTTCCACAGTCAGCTTGTTTGATCTTTTGATATATTTGAGTTAATGCATTTTCTCTAAGGCAAAAATATTCCACATGTAGACCTGCATGTTTGCCGACAATCGTCTGAAATCCGACAATCGCGACCCGACCCGCGAACCGGCCGATGCTATCGCTAGGCCCGCCTGTATCAGTCAATGTGCGTAGTGCGAGGCCTGGCCGACTGCCAGCGACCCCCTTTTTCTCCCGTCGGCTTCGTCGGCACTTTCGTTTTCGTGCCGACCTCCGACGCGCGCACCGCCGACTGCCGACGTCGGCGTTTCCGACATAATTGTCGGAACCTAAGTAGAAATGCGAATACGAAAAAGGACGACAACTTAAATTATCTACTTTCAGTTTCGTGCTCGAGCGGACATTTTGAATTTCGTTTGTTGACTAATTCAATTGTTCAGCTCGTGTTGATTCATTCAAGTCCGACTCTCTTGTTCTAATAGAATATAGATCTAGAATCTAGATTTATATAGATCTAGATCATTATAGACCTCAATGGAGGATTCAGATTCCAATTCTATTGTGTCAAACCCTATCATAGGTTGTGCTGTAATATTAATGGTAAAAATAAGCATTTCATCAGGTGCGTGAATTATTTATTTATTTAGATTTAGATCTAGATCTAGATCTAGATCTAGATCTAGAGATCTATAATCTAGACTCAGCTGAGTCCCTCTGTTCGGAATCGGATGCGGATTTCTAGTTCAAGGCCTATTCCTATTCACTTGTTCTATAAGATCTAGATCTAGATCTAGATTTATTTAGATTACTAGATCTAGATCTAGATAGATGGAGGATTCATTTTCCAATTCTATTGTGTTATTGTATCAAACCCTATAGCAATGTATATTTAGATGTAAGCCATATAGATCTAGAATCTAGATCTATGCTCCTTGTTTGTTTTGGAGTGTGGTTTTTTAACTAGATCTAGATCTAAACATTTTTTTTTTCATTTAGGCTTAGGACTTGTTTTGGCCTTTTTACATGAGGCCCGTTGCAGGTTCTTTTTGGGGATAGGGTTAGGGTTAGGTCTCTTCTTTATTGTGTTTGTTGGGGTGGTCGCTCGTTACTCGGATGTCCTTCCTTATGACACCCACAAAGGCTTTTTTTTTGGGGGGGGGGGGGGGGGGGGGTTGCGCAAAATTTTCAGACAATCTGGTTGAGGCTCACATGCAGGTCTACACATGTAGTCCGAATACATTTGTCAGAGAGCATCTATTTGCTCTTCGAAGGCCCAGCTTTCTCTGTTTTGTATTTGCAGTAACATGTAATACCATTTTCCCCACGCTTGATTACAAGAAGTAACTGAAATGAAAGAAGAACCCGTTCACAGATTGATGCCTTGTGGGGTTGAGGCCCTCAAGTCTTGCTATAGGAATTCATTCTGAGGCTCTTCTTGCCCATTCCTGTTTGGAAATGGATTCATAAGGATGTAAATAATGTTACAGCGACACAATGATTTTTTTCACTAAAAGACCCTGGTGTACACTTGAAATAGAGTCATAAAATACTAATGGCTTGCAAGTTCTAAACTTCTGAAATTTGTTTTCTTGCTTTGTGCAAAGTGACTGTAACTGAGTAACTAGGCTATATCCATTTTGTTGGTAATTTATGACAGCTCAAGCACTGTCTGCTTCTTCTGTCTCTTTTCCATTTTGCTTTTGTCATAATCTGCTCTTCATGAAATGTATCTGTTGTCTTCCTGACTCGAAATAATCTGAAACAGCAAAACAGCAGATGGTTGGAGGGCACCATTGGTAGGTCCTACTTCTTTACTTTCCCCTCTCTTGTTTCTGTCTGTCTGTATAACTTTTCCCCAGCACAAAATGACCATTATTGTGTTGATATGCTTCTCTTTACTCAAATGAAACACAGTAACAAGTGCCGCCTCAACTTGCAATTTTTTAAATTCCAGAGGGTCCATTGATCAAGGTGACAGGTCGACGCACCCTCCCAGAACGCTATGTCTTTCTTTTTGATGCCCTGATTGTGCTGTGTAAGCCCAATGCTCGGCGGGCCTCCAGTGCAGGGCCTGTATCAGAGTACAAGCTAAAGGAAAAGTTCCTCATTCGCAAAGTAGAGGTGGTGGATCGAGAAGATACAGAAGGTGAGGGAGATCTAGGCTCAGATGCTACTATTCTTCTTTTTCAAATTCACATTTCCATGGAACATTTTAAGAACTTGTTTTGACTTTTGGAAATGTTAAGTTTTTGCGCTTTGTGTTTCTTGAATGAAATTTCATTCATGTTTTTGTTTTTTTAAAGTGTACCTTTAACATATTTTTTTATTGTGCGTCCTACTAAAAATGTTTTCAAGTCAAACTGTGTGTTGCTTGTGTGTTTGCTCTGCAAGTACAGTTTGCAGTACTTTTCACGGGCACTGGAATATGGATGTGAGAAATGTGTTTTAATCTGAGGAATAGGGTCCCAGTGATCACTTTTTTCTGCTTAGTCTCTTATTCCTGTCAATATTGTCCATTTTCCTGCGACCATGTATGATCATCTTTTGATGTTTTTGCCTTCACTTCAAGCTTCTTTGTTTCTATTTCAGACCTCAAAAATGCATTTGAAATCCATCCCAGAGAGCATACACACGTTGTCCATGTCTTACAAGCAAAGACAGCAGATGAAAAGACAAACTGGATGGCTGCTTTAGTGTCACTGCAGACAAGGAGGTAATAGTTATGCTTTAAAATATCCTGTCTCTTTGTGATCATGTTGTCAGTGCTTTTTAGACTTTATTATAGTTGTTTCCTTTTCTACTGCCGGACCTGCCTGGTCTTTAATAGACCTGCATGTTTGCCGACAATCGTCTGAAATCCGACAAATCCGACCCGACCCGCGAGCCGGCCGATGCTATCACTAGGCCCACCTGTATTAGTCAATTTGCGTAGTGCGAGGCCTGGCCGACTGCCAGGGCCCCTTTTTTCTCCCGTCGGCATTGTCGGCACTTTCGTTTTCGTGCAGTCTGCCGACGTCGACGTTTCCGACATAATTGTCGGAACCTGAGTAGAAATGCGAATACGAAAAAGGACGACGACCTAAATTATCTACTTTCAGTTTCGTGCTCGAGCGGCCACTGTGAATTTCGTTTGTTGACTAATTCAATTGTTCAGATCGTGTGGATTCATTCAAGTCCGACTCACTTTTAGTAAAATCTAGGTCTAGATGTAGATTTATATATATCTTTATAGACCTCAATGGAGGATTCATATTCCAATTCTATTGTGTCAAACCCTATCATAGGTTGTGATGTAATATTAATGTTGGTAAAAAGCATTTCATCAGGTGCGTGAATTATTTATTTATTTAGAATCTAGACTAGATCTAGATCTAGATTCTAATCTAGATCTAGATCTAGACTAGACTCAGCTTAGTCCCTCTGTTCGGAGTCAGATGCAGATTTCTAGTTCAAGGCCTATTCCTATTCACTTTTTCTACAAGATCTAGATTCTAGATCTAGATTTATTTAGATTACTAAATCTAGACTCTATGTTATGGAGGATTCATATTCCAATTATTTTGTGTTATTGTATCAAACCCTATTATAGCAATGTAGATGTAGGCCTTATTATGCTCCTTGTTTGTTTTGAAATGTGGTTGTTTAAATTTTTTCATTTTTTCATTTTGGACTTGTGCTGGCCTTTTTACATGAGGCCCGTTGCAGGTTCTTTTTTGGGGTAGGCCTAGGGGTAGGGTTAGGGTTAGGTCTCTTCTTCATTGTGTTTGTTGGGGTGGTCGCTCGTTACTCGGAAGTCCTGCCTTATGACACCCACAATTTAAAAGCTCTTATGGGGGGGTTTGAGCAAAATTTTCAGACAATCTGGTTGAGGCTTACATGCAGGTCTACTTTAAGGATGGACTCTTTATTCATTCTACTGTGTTTTTCTTTTGATGTATATCCATTATTTTATTTTTTTTGTTTGGTTGATTTTTGTTGTTTTTCTTCTCTCAAGTGGTTGATTCACCGTACAGTTCTTCTGTCTTGCTTTTTTTATAATCCTTTTCTCCTCCTCCTTGTGTTAAATAAATATACCTCAGAAACAGACTCCATCTCACCGTCATTAGCCCCTGCTCTGGGAAGGAGAGTAGAGCAACTTCTGTATTCATTTGCATCAGCTGTCTGTTTTTGTCAAGACAAACTTGTAAATGTCGGTCTTTTCATAGGTATTTCTACAGCATGGGTATGACACCAGTTTTGTAATACAGTCAAATCTGCTCTAACGGCTACGTGTGCAAGGAACTCACCAGTAGAAAGGATCACTTCCCACTCCCCCATCGTGATTTTTCTTTGTTATAAGTGCACTGTCCAAATCGTCCACCTGTCTAAGACAACCACTTTTCTTGTTGACGATAAGTTGCTTCCATGAACAATTTGGACTGTACCTCAGTTTGTGTGCTCTTGATGAGATGACCATTCTGCCATAAAGTTATTTGTATTGTTGAAATTCCAATGTGAATTCTTCTATTTTCAGCATGTTGGAGCGAACGCTAGATGGAAAGCTTCGGGAAGAAGAGAAGAACCATCCTCTTGTTCCACCCCCAGCTGATCTGTATGAGTTCGCGGAGGAAGACTCGGACAATAATATTATTTTTGAAGAGAGTCAAGAATCATCTTATGAAAGTCCCTTGATCAAGGTATTTCATTTTGAAAAATGGAATATCTGTGAATACTGTTACATTTGAATATTATGGTTCCTATCATTGATCCAACTTTTAAGATACAATGTCTGCTAAATATTGTAATGTACATGATTGTAAGTTTAACAGTTTATAGTGTTTCGGACCTGGTACTTTGCAGAGTCAAAAAGTCTGAAAATTCTTTTGAGTATATTATTGATCTACCCATATGTGACTTGTGGAGGGAAGACCTTCTGAAGATTTTGCTGTAGGATTTTTTCTGTTTAGTGATAATTCAAATTTAAGTGTGTTGTGCCAGTTGGGCTCTTTATTAGAAAGGGAAAGATTTGTTAGGGTCAATCTGTCTCCTCCTTCAATTTTAGTGGATGATTAGTAATTACACTGGTGTGGCCTGCTCTTTCAACTTCTTTCTAGTGTTTCAGTTGGTCTAGTTTGTTCTTGGCAAAATGTGGCCATTATCATAGTGACTCACTATGGACTTCATATAACTCTAGTAATGAAAGTGATTTAAGGTGTTCTGATTGTGGCTCTGTGATGTGATAGTAACGCTATCAATAAATCAAGTGATCGGTCATTTTGTTTCTGTTTGTTCTCAGGGTGGAAAGCTGTTCAAGCTTGTGGAGAGGCTCACCTACCACATGTACGCTGACCCTCGCTTTCTGCGTACATTTCTGCTCACTTACCGGTCATTTTGCAGTCCTCAGGAGCTCATAGACCTTTTGATCAAACGGTATCCTTGCTTTGAGAAAAATGGAGTTAACTGTCGGCTCTATCTTTGTAGCATTTGTATTCTAGAATATTAAACATTGATGTCTGTTGAGTTTTCTCACAAGCAAATCTGCTCTCAGGTGCCAATTTTCAGATAATGTAGTTTTGAAGCTGTTGTAAAGCTCAAGTTTAGAGTGAGTCACCCCAACGGCAGCAATATTTTGAGGATAATATGTCAGAAATGTTTTCTGGATGAGGAACAGGCTTTATTCCTCTTTTGTGAAGTCTTATATTTACATCAAGTTGTGGTTTTTTGTCGTGAGAGTGTCCAAATAGACCCATTTTCCCTTAACTGTCACAAGCTTTGACATCCCAGAGCCTAAACTGGTTATGCCAGCAGCTGATGATGATAACGCTGCACTGAAGTATCGAGAGGATCTTAAAAGGTTCCGGAATGAGTATGTGAAACCAGTCCAGTTCAGGTGAGGATGACTGCCTTGTATCCATTCATAACTTTATACAGGATAGTAACAAGTCCAAGTATGTATTTATTACAGTGAGAGTTTTTTGATTGTGTTGAAATGGTAGAGCTTGTTGGTTTCAATACTTTTTTCTCAAATAGAACTCAATTTGTTTCAGAAATTTTGTTATACTCAATTTAGAAAATTTGAGGCTTTGTTATTGATTCTGCTGCTTATGACCTTCCCATTTACCGAAGGCTGCTTTTTTACTCAAGCTCCAAACGGCAATGTGTCTGATTTATAAAAAGAATTGAGTGATAGTTAAATAAATTGTTTTTGTTGATTGTTTTACCTTTTATTATTTCAGCTTCATTTTTATCAATGTGTGTGCACTTTTAATAGAAATATCTCAAGAGATTACAATACACTTGTTAAATTGCTGAACTGTCTTAGCCGTAATGGTATGCTTTGGATTAAACTCTAACAATATTCTTCATTGCTCCTAGGGTGGTCAACGTGTTTCGGCACTGGGTGGACAACCACTTTTATGACTTTGAGAGAGACCCAGAGCTCTTGGAAAAACTGAATGAGTTCTTGAGGTCCATCAAGGGCAAAGCCATGAGGAAAATGGCCGACTTCATTTCCAAGAGTATACAGAGGAGGGTACGTTTTGACATCAGAACTAAGAATAATAATTATTGTAATATAGCATTAATTGTAACTGCTGGAACTGGCTATGAATGCTTGCTACTTTTTTTTTTTTTTTTTTGGTTGTCAATAGCAGTTTAGGTTTTCTCATATATCTTTTCATTTTGTCATTTGCCGATAGACAAATCTACAGTTTCGTATAACGAAAGCTGTGGGACAGCCGCACTTTTTTGTTGTTTATAAAGATTGTTTAAATAGTAATTTTAAAAAAATTAGGGAATTCAAATTTTTAAAATTATTTTTTTGTTTACTACTGTTTCATTAACTGTGATCTGTTTACTCTGACCCCATAGATGAGAAGCAGCAGTAGCAGTCCTGAGAAAACACGACTTTGTTCTCCCCCCCTTACAAGTTATGATTTATATGAGAATTAAACTGTTTTTAGACTTATGCAAGATTTATGATTTTTCTTTCTGAACAGATGGAAAGTTGTAACACTGAACGAGAGTTTACATATCAAGAAACACCTCCAAAGATTGAGTGGCACCTTACTCGAAAGCCAGAAGAGTTTGACTTGATGATGGTAAGTCAAGAATTATATGCCCTTTTAAAATTCCAAGGAAAGGCTTTTTGTTATGTTGTAATCTTCGAATCTTGTATTATTTGTTAACTCATTGACGACGCAAGTTTTTCACCAAATATTTCCCTGAAAACCTATTTCTTACCTATTTTTAAAAAATCAGTGTGATAAACCTATCAACTGTACAGGTATAAAAGTTGACACAAAGTAAGATCGTCATGTATACTTACATAAAATGTATTTATTTTTACAAAAACTGTGAAAAAAATTATGTTTTAGGTGAAAAAAAAAGTATATGTAAACAGAGAAAAAAACTTTTTTATGAGCTAAGCTCATGGATCTCAGAATTGATTGTAGTCAATTAAAATGGTTTCAAACAAGTAATACTTAGTGATATTATCTATAAGAATAGTGACATTGCCAGGAGCATTGTAGTTTCCTGAATCAATAATCCCTTTCGCTTTGTTGGTAGTGAAAGGAGCTTCCAGCAGCTCTCTGTTTCTTGTTTGCGTAAAAAGTAGGTCAGGTCAGCGTGTTTCGGCAGATTGCTTATAGCAAACAATTCGGATGACCAATGGCCAAAGGGATACAACCACAATTAAGTCCGGGACCCGGCGCGTCTTCAGAGTTTGTTGACCTCGCCGGGTCTCGGACCCGGCGCGTCGTCAATGAGTTAATTAAACGTTACGGTACCTAGCACTGTTTGATCTGCTTCGAATATGTAGCGGGAAAAGATAAGGATGGAACTGAAATTTGTCTATATATCGGTTGTATTTATTTTTCTAACAAATTTCATTTTGTTCATATTGTAAACATTTTTTAGAACTTGTAAGATATGGGGGACAGAGTTTATTAGAATAACAATCTCAAAATTTTAAAGGTTTTAGCATTCATTTGGTAGCATTTTAATTATTTCTCTGTTTCTCATTTTATTCCATCTTTGTTAATTTTGTTTGATATTGCTCGGGTTATGAACTTGTCTGTATTCAGACATGATGTGTTGGCTTCATATTTAGTGGTTGTTTATTTGTGTATTTTTTGCTTTGCTTCAATGTTTACTGTTTTGTTCAAGCTCCTTCTAACGTATAACTTTTGCTCTTGATCTACAGCTTCACCCCATTGAAATTGCCCGTCAAGTGACCCTGATAGAGTTTGACTTGTATCGGTCAGTCAAGTTGTCTGAGCTAGTGGGAATGCCATGGACGAAAAAAGACAAACACAAGACTGCACCAAATTTGCTCAAACTGATCCACTTCTCAACTAAAGTATGTTTATCATTCTGTCTGTACTTTTAAAAAAAAGATTTTTTGCTAGTTGTGTGGTAATTTAAAAATAAAAAATTTTGTTGGCACGTTCTAAGTGGAGAGAGTTCATGTTCCGAAGGTCAGTGACATTGTTTTTGGTGTGTGGTTACCAAGAGACATGATAACCCTCACTGCAAAAAAACGTATTTGCCCGGTTAAGAACAGCAATGGCATGTTTGTCAAAATGTCCATGTTGGTGTTATGTTTATGATTTCTATGAAAAAGATATACTTCTATATTATTAAATTTGTGCGTATCGTACATATAATTGTGTAATCCCAATTTCCATATGAGAATAATTGACAGTGGGTTTGTTTTTGCTATGCTTTTAACACTTTTCAGTAACGTCTTAAAGTATGAACTCGGTAGTACATCAGCTTGTCACATGGTCAAGAAATGTGACAACTTGCCCTTCCATTGCCCACAGTTGTTTTTTCTGAAGTGTCGTAAGAGGTCAAAGTGGTAAATTGAATATGGGCATCTCGAGAATATGGTCTACATTTTTTAACGAAACTTAATTCATTCACTTTTTTTTCTAGTTTTGGAATAATACGGTGTTGATTGAATTTATAACCACTTTCAAATTGCTTTGTTTATGTTTATTTTCATCCACAAAAATTAAATTTTCTCAGCTATTAACCCAAGCGGAGTAAATTAAAGACAATGGCATAATGTTGTAATTTTGTTATGTCCTTTCAGTTTACCTATTGGCTGGAGTTGTACATTGTTGAGACTCAGAACCTGGAGGAGCGTGTAGCAGTGATGTCCCGGATCATCGAGATAATGCAGGTGTTCTATGAGCTCAATAACTTCAACGGTGTGCTGGAAATCATTGGGGCTTTGAACTCAGCCTCAGTTTTCCGGCTGGAGCATACCAAGAAGGTATGCGTCAAGTTTCTTTGATTGGAAAAGATGAACCCATTTTTAAAAATCAGTGGTGATTGAGCATTTCTTCTGAAGGGATTTGTTTTGTTTTGGTTGGTTGAAAGCAATGTAAGACATTTAGAGTTACAACTGGAAAAAGCATTTATGATTTTCATAAATGTTATTAAACCAAAACAAGAAACTTTCGTAGTGTACAAAAAAATATTGAAGCTTGCATGAAGCAGAAATGAAAGCAAACTAGTTTTAACATTCGTATGTTGAGTGGTGTATTAAAAATTGATCCTTTTTATGAAACAGAAATTTTGCTTCAAATTGTTGAATGATATCATATTTGAACAAGACAAGTTGTTGCGTAAATGTGAAACATCTCGATGTGGAAAGGGGAGGGGGAATCTTAGTGTGGGTAGTGTTAGTTAATTACACTGTAATCAAAACAGCGTAAAGTTAAGTTGGGTACCCTGAGCTCCTGTGTGGGAATGTAGAAGAAGAAATTGACTTTCTTATTTCTATTTTGACAAATGAGAAATTATTCATTGAAAAATAAAACGGGTCTCTTTACAGTAAGAATTAAACATTTTTTATATTGTTTTGCCTTCTATGTTTTATGGTGTCCTTGCACACCCCTTTTGCCCTCTCTCCCTCTCTCTCTCTCTCTCTCTCTCTCTCTCTCTCTCTCTCTCTCTCTCTCTCTTTCTCTCTCTCTCTCTCTCTCTCTCTCCCTCTCCCTCTCCCTCTCCCTCTCCCTCTCTCTCCTTCTCCCTCTCTCTCCTTCTCCCTCTCTCTCCTTCTCCCTCTCTCTCCTTCTCCCCCCTCTCTCTCTAGACTTGAAAGTGTGGGTAGTGAAGATGAAGTCATGTTAAATTGTCTCATGCTGCCTCCTTTTTTTCACAGGATCTTCCCAGCAAGTGCCAAAAATATTTAGAGGAGGCCTCGGAGCTGAACAATGACCATTCAAAGAAATACATTGAGAAGCTCCGCTCCATCAATCCACCCTGTGTTCCATTCCTAGGTATGGAAATTTCATTGTTTCTTCTCTCAACGCCATGTTCAGAAAAGAGAACGCTTTTGAAGGATACCTTTAAAAAAGAAAGGGCTGTAATATTTTAAGCACCAATGTGAATTTGATGCCCCATGAGATATGCCACTGTGACTTCTGATCTACCAAAGTGTATATGGTGTCTTTATATTACAGAGGTGCATGTAAATCATGTTGTAAACAGCAGCTCTAAATGAGACTTTAGTACAGGGATTTTCATTTACCACTGGTAATACCTCCATTGGGAAAGGATTTCCTTGTATTTCATCTATTATTTAGAGAAATTCTGAGGACCTCTGTAGAGTAAGTTTGATGATAGAGAATTTAAAATTTGAAGTCATTCCTGTGAATGGACAAAGAAAGGCAATGTTTATGGATACTACCAGGTCATATGTTAACAGCAGCCATTGTAAACATAAATTAAGACAGGTGCAAAAGCAGGACTTCAGCAGTTAAGAAGAAAAAAGCACGCTTAGTATTACTGTGTTCGTTATTACCTTTCAGAATTTATCAATTAAAGTTCCTTTGTACAGAATGTGCCACAAATATTGTAGAAAGCCGGGGTAAGCTTAGCTTAGGAAGTAAATACAAAAGCAGTCAATTGAATCGCCATTCCATCTTTAATTTCAATGTCTGGTATCTATGATTTACTGAAATTTTCAATAATCAGGCAAAATTCCTTATTAAAACAAATATTTACCACCCCTGCAGTGGGACTAGTGTACTTTCCTTGTTGAGCAGGATACTGTTGCATTGTATTTTGAAACATCATTGAATTTTGTGTATTGTGAAATAGTACATTTTTTGTGCTAAGATGGAAAATAGGTAGTGCTCATTGTTTTCTCCTCTTGTTGCCTTAGGCATGTACCTTACAAACATTTTGAAGACTGAAGAGGGTAACCCGGACTTTGTGGCTAATGCGCCTGAGGGTATCATCAACTTCAGCAAGAGGAGGAAAGTGGCTGAGATCACTAGTGAGATCCAACAATATCAAAATCAGCCTTACTGCCTCAAACAAGACATCTCCATACGGGTAAGATAAGACTTATTTTGTTCTTGTTTCTTTGATATTGACAAATATCTGTTCTTTTATGGAGTACTTATACATTAAAGTAATATTTTTTTTCCTTTTCAATTTGTCACTGTAAGTTTTAATTTACAAACACTTTTTGCATTTCTGTTGAACACACATGGTTGTCATAAATACTATTTGATCAGATGTTTTCTTCAAATCAGGCTTTTTCTCTCTCTTGAAACATTACCCTAATTTTTGTGCAGTCCTCACATCCCTGGACATACAGTGCTTGATATTTAACTGGAAAGCAGCTCCATGTTTTATGAATAACTTGCCTCGTGAGGGATGCTCTATTGTCACAGCTATGTTCAGCCTCTGAACTTGTTTTTTTTTCAGGATTATATTTCTGCTTTGGATCCCTTGAAGGAGAGGGATTTGTCTGAGAAGGAATTAGAAGACCATCTGTACAAGACTTCACTTGAGATTGAGCCAAGAGATGGCAAGCTCAACAGATATGTATGTTCATTTTGTACATATTGTACCTTTTCTGACTTAGTGGGGGGAAAAAGCTGTTGAGATTTATCGAACAGAGAACTACTGGCTTGTCTGAAATCTCTACTGGGACTGTCTATTATGCATCAGCACTCCACTTTAACCCACTCAGTACCATAACGGCCGTAGCCGGCCGCTTCCGTTTCATAAACCTAGTACCATTACGGCCGTAGCCGGCCGCGCGTTAGTAGCGTTGTTTCTAGGGAAGTGTACACGCTTGGTAGCCATCGTATTTAACCCGCATTTCGACCAATCAGAAAATAGATAATCATTCTCTCCTTGAGAGCAGCAGGGACATAACTCTGGAAATTTTAGTTGGACTAAATTCAATGTAAACAAACCAGTTCACAGGGGTCGCGCAAGCTAAGATCGAGGGTTTTTCGCAAGCCGCCGGCATCGTGTTCAGACTGATTTAGGCTAAATTTTGGATAATTTTAATGAAAATAACTGTGCTGGGGGAGAAAACCCACAGAATGGTAGCAATTTAAGTGAAAGTGACATTGATGGTGATCTAATTGTGCCTTTGGGGGGTGGTTCGGACAATGAGAATGAGGTCAATGAGGAGCATATGACTAGATCTAGATCTAGATCTACAACTCGGCTGATTTTATCTTCAATTATGAAATACAGTCAACACACACAGTAAACAAGTAATTTATATCTTAAAATTTATTCATTTGTGAAGAACTTGTTTCAAGATTTTTTTTAATCAATGGATTGGTTATTTTATAATGATTTTTAAAAAATACCCACTACATCACAAACACGGATTTATTCCCCTTTGCGTGGTCCTGAGCCATCTTCCCACTGGAAATCCAGTGGTACTGAGTGGGTTAAAGCAGTTTTGGTATTCATATCTGTATTTTGTTTTTGGGAATGACAGAAATGAAACAGGTTTTATTTGGCGTTGGGTTTTTTTCTGGGTAAACTTCCTTTGAAGATCAAAGGGAAGTAGACATGTTTATTCTTCTGAATCTCCTGTTGTTTTGTTTTTGCCTCATATCTTCTATCAAAATTGTTACTGTAGTTGAAGCATTTGTATGCTTGAACTTTTTGATTGTCTTGTGTTCTATTTTTAGTAGTTTTGAAAACAGAAGTTTTAACACTGAGATAAAAGTTCTTAGATATGTTGGGTTTTTTTGTTTTTTGTTTGTTTGGGGTTTTTTTTAGGAAAGGAAGAGACATCTGGGGTTTCAATGGTCAAGTGGTTAGTGAATTTGGCTCATGAACAAAGTCAGTGATTTTTATGTAGGCCTTCACTGAGAGGATTATCCTAGCTCAGAAACTAGGTGATGGGCTGCAGCAATTTGCAGTAGTGTGTTAGTGAAATTGTCTGTAGTCGTATGATATTGTATAGTGGTATGACATTATAACTCATGAAAGGTTTTGTGTATCACAAATGAAAGTGACATTTTCTTTTTTCTTTTAAAATATTACTCTATAGCATGCTTTTGTTGGGTTTTTTTCAACAGCCTAAAAGGTTTGACTACTCATTGAAGTCTCCTGGCATCAAACCAAGTGCAAACCGTCATGGGGGCAGCAACAAAAGCAGCACCATTCCCCCATCCTTGCCAAAAATGTCAGAGGAGGAAGACTCATCGCCGTCTATGTGTCACACACCAACCTCTCCGAACAAGCCACATAGTCCGCTGGCCATGGGAACTGGTCCAAACAACGTGTTTGTCAACTCACCAGGTTATTTCAATCTTTCTTTTTGTATATATTGAATATCATTCTATTGCTGATATTGTTAGGAAGTATATCAGTGGCACATAAGACAAAAAGATTATGTCGAGCAAAACTGGTGGGGTGGAGGCATTGTGTGATATTTTTTAAAATGATGTTTATATTGGAAGGTAATACGGGGTGCCTACTATGGATCAGATGGGCCGATCTCACAACTCGGTTGCCTCAAAAACAAACGTGTTTGTTTTCAGTTTCAGGCGACCATGGATGATCGACCCGGTCCGGCTGTAGACGGCACCCAGTATTAGACTTTGCTAATTGTTTTTACCATATATATACTTCTGTTTCATTTCATGACTTTATGTATTTATATGTGACAATTACTACACAAACGATGAAAGCCGTTTGCATATATAGGCTACTTATAGCTCATATCTCTTTATAATGAAACCCCAAAAATGTGGACTGTCAATTAACTTTTTTCTCTATCTTCAGAGTGCAATTTTCTGTTGCTGACTGTCTGAAGTGCGTGTATGGTTGTGGCTTAATCATTCACATTCGTGTGTGTTAAGATTGCTGTTGTTCTCTCGTCCCCTCAGAGCCCAGCTCTAGCCCCAGCCAGTCCAGTGTCATGCATTTCCCGCCCCTGTCTAGTACTCCGGAGGAGCCGGCAGAGATGGGCCCGCCCCCTCTCCCACCACGGCACAGGGGAAGTTCAAGCGCCATGCCAGAGCCACCGCCAGCCCCACCCCCTAGGCCAGACAGTGACAGACCCCCACCTGTGCCCCCACGGCGAGACTCCATGCCATTTCACAATTCTCTAGCATCACTGGGCGCTACGGCCCTGGCACGCTCCCAGAGCGTGTCTCACCCCCGCAACTCTCCGGCCGTCTCGGGGTTCAACACACTGCCACGCCAAAGCCTAGAGCGCCACAGCTCTGAGCGTAGCTTCCCCCTGGGCTCCATGGACCTATCCGCTGCCACCAGTAACAACTCCAGCGCTAGCAGTTTGAGTGAGGACCCAGGGGAGAGGCCAGAGTTGCCACCTCGCACGTACCTGGCGTACCTACACTTCGCCAATCGGCCACCTCCGCCACGGGACAGCTAACCTCAGGCTTCATTCTCCCCAAAGACTAAGCCATTTACCCAAGGGTCTCTCCCCCCTTCTCCCCTCCCGTTCCCATGCTCCTGGCCCTGTGACTGGGATATCCTGCCTGTGGCTTCTTCCCCTTTAGAAATTCGGAGCTTGGAAAGGATGGCTGCTTCATTTTCCCACTCCCAGTGCTCCTCCTGGCAACAGACGTCCAATGCTTGTGTTGTACCGGCATCTCAAGTTCACTCACATCTGCACAATTAGCTGTTTCTCAACCACCTCATTTCTGTGTTAACGTGGTAACCTGTCATATTAAGCAGACATATGCCATTCACTGTACTTTGTCACTACAGAGCATTGGACCAAAGGTCAGACTCGTGGAGGTAGCGGCTACTGTGGCGCCAGTGCTACTGTGACAACACTGGCGTCAGTGAGTGATTGTCCACTGTTCTGGCAGAAATAATACGTTAACGGTATGTGGCCCCGGTTTGTATTTCATGGATGACTTCACCTATTGGCTGCATATCTGAGCTCATTTGTGCCAGGTGAGACGAGGCAATACTTCATACTTTTGTTCTTTCTGGAAAACACGCCAGGCTGAACACATGTCCTTCAATATGTAAAAAAAAAAAAGTCATGCTACAGTGTGCGGACTGAGCCTTGTTTTTTTTATATTGTTGTCAACAGCCAAAGGCTTGTCATGCAGCTGAGGCTGATATTATTTTGAAGTGCTTAGTGTCTTGATTACATTGCATTGAGCGGGGGCTGCCTGAGGGCTGAGTCACCTGCTTCATCCGTCTTTGCTTATCCGCCAGAGACTAAAGGGTTGCTGCGCTGTGGTGAGAGAAACACGTTGCAGCTCTTTCGTCTGGAGTCAGTCCATCGTTGTTTTTCCCTGTAATTTACATAGTGCTGTTGGTGTCTGCACAGGAGGTGATTTTTTCATGTATTGGATGTGCTTAAATTTGTTATAAATATACACTGAAACTTTTAATGTATGATGGCTTGAACCTCGTCTATGGCCAATATTTACGTAAAAGGCAGGCCTTGTTCAAGAAAGTGAATATGGATGAAAAATTTCCTGTTTTGGAGAGTGAATTCGGTCAAAAGTGTGTGTATGTGTGTAGGGATTCATACTTGAGGTGTGCATGTTTGCATGGATGTGAGCGTTTGTTTTTGAGCTTTACTTTACTTTACTTTACTTTTCCGATCCAGCGGCCATTTGGGTTCTAGCCCTTCGGTCTGTCGATATGGCAAAGAATTGACAGGTTGTTTTTGAGCTAAAAGTGTGGAGTGTAATTGGACTGAAAAGGTACAGAGCAACTGGTACTGAGATACGGCTCCGCGTGTGAACAAGCCTACTTTTGTTTTTGTTTTTCAATCCATTGACCTGTTGTCAATGCTTTATTTTTCTGGGATTTTTTAATTTCCATAAATGACACTTAATTTTTTTTTCCTCTGAAAGAATCTATTGTGTCAATATATTTGATCTGATCATACCTTTTCTTTTTGAAAGTTACAAATAGGAGATTGCAAACACTGCCCTTTCTGTTGTAGTTTCCTTCTCTTAATCCTAATGAATTCATCATTCATATAATATTACATCTCATTTTTTTAAAATGATGAGTAATGTTTTTTTCCCAACTTTCTGTGACATCTTTGAACAGGAGTATTTTTTTTCCTGCAAATAGCTAATATCTTTATGATTTAATTTAGACAATATGTTTATTTTCAAAAGATTGCGCAAAATCTTTGACACTGTTTACTTCTTCAGTATTTCGTGCCGCAAGGTGCAATGCGGTAGGTGGTAGGAATATTCTGGCATCATATAGAATTCAAAATTCATATGTAAGAGAACATCTATAATACTCTTTAGTTTCTCAATATATATTCTTTCTTACAGATGAAAAATTGTGATGGCTAAACATTTCCATTTTTAGAATCGTATCATTTGTTTTAGGTGACTTTGTTTTTAAGGGTTCTGTGAACACCATCTTCCTTTCGCATCTTGAAAATGTGATAAGGAATTTTTTTTAAGTGTTATTAATTACCTTCTGGCAAATCTCTTTCTATCCTTCATCAGACAGCCAGATGTCTAATTGATTAGAAGTTTTAATATTGACTAGGATTGTTTTTCTTCATACTAATCATACCCTTTACTTTTATAATTGTTTTACTCTCAAGTCCTAGTTGTTTTACACTCAGATCTTGACTGCTGGTAAGTAGTGTGTCTTGCATTTAAAAAGGATACCTTTTTCTTTTCCTTATAAATATGGGTGCTTTCACTTGTCTGTCTCGCCTTTACTTCCTGGCCCCTTTCCTACCTCCCCTTCACGCACACACATGTACACCACATGTACACACACATGCACACACATACATACATGCACACATACACACACACACCCCCCCCCCCCTATTCCTTATCCCATCCATCTACTCTTTCCATCTTGATCAGGGCAGAAAAAAAGTCTTTAGTCTTCAGTTGTACCATTTTTTTTTTCTTTTCTTTCTGACCTTTGTTAACTTGTGCAATGTCCAGTGGTTGGCGGTTGTCCCAGTGTACCATACCTGGTCGTGGTTGACCTATTTATGATAACCGTATGGTGGATGGCTGGCTGTGCTCATCTACCCTGTGCACACATCATCATATCAAGGCAGGCCTGCCTCAGCTAGATAGAACCTTGTTGCCCTCTGTCACTGTTTACAATGCGTGTATAATGAATTTTGCCATAAACTTTCAACAAAGATGATTGATCATTCATTGAATTTTGAGGGGAAACTAATAATAATAATTGTCAGTGTCTTCCATGCTTTCATAGACTGCCCAGTCCTGTCTATGTTGCAGTTTTTTTGTTGTGCTGTATAGAGCCTGTGTGATAAAGAAAGTTTGTTAATGCCCAAGGGCTTCAGAGACTGGCAATATGATGATGCTAGCTGAATTCGATAAATTCATGCTTTTTTTCTGTATTTGTTATTAGTGTACATTTTTGTAAAGTGTGTTCATGTATGAAGGTGGTGATGATTTAAGTTGGAACTTTGGGTAATTCAAGCAATGAATCAAAAACGTTTCATGTTTTGAACATGCCCCCCAAAAACCCTCTCACATTAGCTGCAGACTTCATAGTCCTTGGAACTTGAGATTATTAAAAGTTGTTGACATGTTTGTTCATGCATTGTGGCAAGTTAAAAGTACCGGTATAGGCATGTTAACCTAGTCATTAAGTTTCAAAGCAACCGAAAGTTGGGCAGTTAATACTATTATTAGTTGTTTTTTTAGTTGTAAAGAGTCGTGAGGATGGGATGGGTGAAGTGGGGATAAAATGTTGTTGATTACAAAGTTCTTCGGCTATACACTTTTTAAAAGCGTTTTATAGTAATTTTTCAGTGAGTATGAAAAATATACACGTTTTATTCAATTTCAGCCTACCTTTCTTTATCTTCAAGTGTTCCAGCAGGAGAACTTTTTTTTCATGGTTCTGTAAGTTAAGCAGCAATAGATATAATGGAAAAAAAGCTCAGTTACATATTTGTTGATTTTGGGTTGTTGTTTTTTTCTTCTTCTTATCCATTTGTCGATAACTGATAACAACCACTTTCGTTCTTTGGAATGTTTTGCCATGGGAAGCAGTCTGTAGCCAGATTGGCCACTTTAGAACTTGATGTTTTTTTTGTGTTGCTTGATAGTTGCCCATGGTGTGGCCTGATACAGTGCTCATTTCCACGTGCAATACTGAATGATTGCCTCGGCCCTGAGCGCTCACACTGTCAACTCTCCTCAGTACTTAGGATGAACATCGACATCCCTGCACAATCACAGACATACACATATTAATACACAGTGTTTGCATTTCATCTCTGTATTCCTCACAAAGTTTGTTCATGCTATGTTGGACTGCACACATATGGAACTGTCATGGAACCATTCCCATCTGTCTTAATCCATGCATCCCAAGACACCCCCCCTCCCCCTCAGAATTTTCAGCAATGCCAAAAGTATTACACCTAAGTAGTATGGAGAATGCTGCTCCCGTCCCCCCTCCTCCCTGCCAGATTATGCAGTCTTTGCAGTCCCCAGTTCCTTCACCCTCCCACATGAACATTTTTCTCTTGTGTTTTGCTTCAGTTCTCTCAATTGTGTGTTTTCTTACTCACAGCCTCACGCTTTTTATTTCCAAGATCAGAAAGTTGTTTTTATAAGGTTTTATAAAATGAGTTCTGATGCTGCTGGCTCCCACGACTCTGTCTTCAAGAGTATTATTTGTGATAATATTATTCTTTCGGACATGATTTTGGACTTGACAATAAAAGTGAAAGGGGGAACAAATGTGTGTATCCTTTGTTTATTAGGGAATGAAAAATTGAAAGATTTGGAGTCAACCTATTCTTTTGATTTCCAGATCTAAATCATTTTTGGGGACAGAGGGAGGGCTTGGGGTTCCTGTCATCTTTTCATAGTGAGCTACAGATCATAGAACATAAAAATAGTTCTGTCCATTATTAAGACTGTACTGTAAGAAACTTGCAATTGAGATTTGTCGATCTCTGCAGCGAGCAGTGACACTAGATAATAATTGAGCAATCTTAAAGGTGAGTGAAGTCTGGAAAGCTTAGAGCTGCATCATCGTCTTTATGTCAAGTAAAGAGTTACAAAAATTCCAGAATTTTAAGCACCGTTTTCTGCTTTGTGCTAGGTCTGTTTTATGCCGTAATTAAAATAACAAAAGTTATTTTTTCCTTTCGTGGACGGCAATGGATATTGAGCTATGGCAAACTGAAACCAACATTTTTCATAAAATAGACTTGCTTTTTTTGCCTCGCGACCTAAAATATCTAACAATGTGGAGTCTAGTGTACTTTTGTAAGAAACATGCAATTTATTCTCCGCTGAGATTTCTGTAATTTAAAAATAATTTTTTCTAGGGTTCCAGATCGCTTATAATACATTTACTGTGACTTTGGCTTTGTGAGACTTTTGAACATGCAACAGTTGCTAATTTAGATTTCAAAAGGGATTGGGAGGTTGTTGAGAACAAACTTTCTTTAAGCTTTTGCTCTATTTCTGGGCTACAACATCTCGTCTCATATTTTTATAAAGTACTCTTTTCTATCAACTCCTTGGGTCATACCTTTTTAAGCTGATTTTGTTTTATCTGTACTTGTTCCCTGTTGTCAGAGACGAGCAGAGGAATAAATTGAACCAGTCTTCTTTTCAGTAATTTCAGTGGCAGCGACAGATTTCCCCGAAAATTCCTGGCAGAGGTATCGTCAAGACTGATATGAAATACTGTTTATGAATGGGCCTCACATTAATTTCATTGTCCTTTTGAATTGTTTCCTTGGTTCTCATTATATCATGTCATGTCCTCATGATTTTTGTCCTTTGAAGATCATGTATGTGTTAGAACTTGTTTTGTTTTGTTTTATTTTTTTTTAAACATTTCCCCAAATACAGTTAGTGAAGAAATGTTGCAATGTGTGTTTGTTTTGCTTGATTTTTAAAAATCAATGTCTCTTATATTTATGTGATAGCTTCAGTGTCAAAGCAAGTCCAGGATGTTCCTTTACTGTTTAGAAAAATTTACAAGAATTTTGTCCAATTGCAAGAGTGAGCCATAAAATGAATTGGGTGGAGCTTGTGTGGCAAGTTCTTTCTTTTCTGGCCACTCAGTAACAGTAACACAGTGTCAGAACTGAGAAGTCATAGGAAGTGCCCAAACAGATCTATTGGATGATTACGAAGAGGAATTTGATCCAGAGGTCTAGTACTGGCATCTGTGGTGTAGAAGTTAGGTGCTTCGCAATCTTTCTGCTGGGATGGGATCCCTTTCTTAGACTTTCTGCCAAGGTTGGCCTTCACAGGCAGAGTCAAACCCCGCCTCCTCGATGATCTACATTGGGATGATGGGGACGAAAAACACTGACAATTTGATTTTTAAAAAAAAATTTTTACAAGGCCTATTGCTAAAGAGGAGGAAGACAAGAAGGAAAGGACACAATATACCCGAGTAAATGATAATCCAGTTTATCTGAGTCTGAGGATATGTGTTCAATAATTCATGCTGGATATTTCACCTTAGGAGCAGTTGCACTTCCAGCTGGTGTTCACACCTTTTTAATTAACTAATCGAAGAGTTGTCACATGACCAGAGCCAGTGTCTGAATGACCAGGTTTATAGACTGCACCTCAGGTCAAGGAAATGTATCTGCCGCCTGATTTTCTCAGGGCATAACACATAATTCGAGGCAGGCGCTCGTATAAATAAAGTAATCAAGGAGACAGGCATTTTTGGGGGCCTTTCGGCAAATATTTTGTCATTTCTTTTTTTAGGTTCAATACTTTTGGTGTCCACATGAGAACACATTTCTGTGTGGACTGTACTGAAAAATATTAACCAAAGGCACAAAAAAACATAATTTGCGGTTTCAGAGGACACTCAAGCTTTTGGAGTCACCAAACTTTGGCGGTCATTTTCTAATTTTACCCCTGGCACCAGGCGACCCCCACCTCCTTGTACTGCAAATACAGTCGAACCTGTGTAAGATGGAATCGCAAGAGAGACAGAAAAAAATTCCGTCTTAGTCATTTTCCGTCTTTGGAGATTTAGGGGGAGATGGAGTGAGGTTTCAAAGGCCCAGCCAATGAGACATCAAGGATCGTTTGTCCAGTCAGCAAGCAGTGGTCAAAACTTCACACGTCTCAACTGCCATCCTCTCCATGCGTCAGTCCTACTTATCCAATTACCACCAGTGCTTGCATTTCATAGGACCACTGTCTGACCTTTTAAAAACAGAAACGTTTGAACATCTTTGCTTCCACCCTTAGCCCCACCCATCGGTGTAACGAGCACAGTTAACCAATGCCACCCCTCACTGCCATGTAATGATTCAAGGAACTCTTTTCTCAGCTGGCCGTACTATCAGGACGGTTGGCATCGGTCAAACTAATTTCACACCACAGGCTCCTGGCTACCCAGGAAAGTTTCCGTGATGGCTCCTTGCTACTCGAGCACTTTCACTGGCACTCGTAAGATTTCCCACTAACACCACTCTGACCATCTGCATCGCTCAGGGCTCACATAGATGGGGTAACATATACCCCAAGAAGGTTATACAGTAATGTCCTTGATCTACCCCAAAACTGCACCCCTACTCCCCTTCTTCGCCCGGCGGCATGGCGTTAAGTTTAGAGCCAGCGGAGCCAAACTTGCGAGTTTTGTTTCTAATCAGGACTGAGCAGGCAAAGCATTTTCCGTCTCAGACAGGTGAAACCCAAGGAATGGAGCGGATTTTTCTTTGCATTTTCGTGTTGGACAGGTTTCTGTTTTATACAGATAATTAGAATTAAAGAGGAATATATCAAGGGGGGAGCAGGGAGATTCCATTAAGACAGGTTTCCGTCTTACACAGGTTTCCAATAAGGCAGGTTCGACTGTATCTTTACTTAAATGGATACTTTTTTGCCAAAAGCAAGACAAATGAACACGTTTTGAGATGACACTAATAACTCCATATGCCCAAAAACTGACGAGCGCCTGATTCCACTGTGTCAAGACCCATAGGAGAACCGCACCAGCAGAATGTGCTCACAGATGTATCTGAGGATTTTTTTTTCTTCCAACACCTATGGTACTGCGAACGAGAGTACTCGCGAAGCCTGACTGCTTCCCCAGGACCGCGGATGAGTATACTCTCAAGCGAAATGACCTAGATCTACACAAAAGCCTGTCGATGTTTTCCTTTACATATTTACAGGGTCCCCACCAGGTCGGGAAATCGGGAAAAAGTCGGGAGTTTCGAGATGGGTCGGTAAGTAGGGAAAGGATAAGGCCTGTGTAATGTGTAGCTATCTCCACAGTATGGTTGATGAATCCTGAAGAGGAAACGTAATTGAACTGCTGTGGCGGAAGTGTATGTGTGACATCAAGGCTCGATCGGGAAGAATCAAGATCTATTTTCGCTTTCGTTACCGCCCAGAAATTTTCCGATAATAGTCTGATAGATAACGCAACATTTGTAACATGCAGGTTATGCATTATGAACGCTGTGTCGCCTTGAAAATAAATCAATATATTAAAAATTGCCCTCTGCTGTCGCTTGTGGAAAAAAGAAAGAAAAAGAACTTATACAAGCGTCTTGACAGGTACGCCCTCGTGACCGGTCAATGAACCTGTGAGTACCGGCGGTCTGAGCGCTGTGAATGTAGGACTCCTTTTTACACTCGTGGAAGGGGATTGTGGTGGGGGGGCTGAAGGCAACGCTAGACGACAAAAACTGAACTTGGAAGCACATTTTTTAGCATTTTGATAACTACTTTAGAGCTCTCTGCATAGCGCGCGTTGGTGCAGGCCTTGTGTGGAATCGGGATCCGTCATTCCTTGTTATTGAACTAAAGTGTTTGCGTTTCATTGGATGGGGTGATTGTAAGTTATATCTGTATTTTAGCTTTCTGTTCCAGATTGGCAGATTTCCAGTGTCACTGCATCCCCCCCCCCCCCCCCCCCCCAGTTCTTACACCTCTCACACTGAATAGGTGTACTTGAGCCATTCTAGTTATTACACTAATATTACTCTTCTTTAAGTTGCAGCAATGGTTTTCGTTTTCACGTTTATTATATGAATCACGACACCCAGACTGGTTACTGACAGTCGATATTCTAGTTCTAGGTCTTTTCTCAGGTTCAAAACAGGATTCATTTTTTATATAGGGCCTATAGTAATAGTTTGTTATGTTGGCTAATATGATGAGGGGAAAATATAAATAAGTAAGAACAGACTGAAATAGCGAAGTCTCTCAAGATCCCAGTGCCACACTGACATGTTGTAGACTGGATATAATGTACCTACATGTGTGTGTGTGTGTGTGTATTCACAAACGTATACATGACCTGTATTATATAAGATAAATGGAGCACACGCTTTCATTGCTTTCATTGTTATGTAACGTGTTCCTGGAAAATGGATGAGGCCCCTCCCTTGGAAAATTGAGAAGCGGGTTGGCAGTCACCCAGTATTATAGTCATCTATTGTTTAAAGACTATACTACAAAATGTACATTTGCATTCATTTATAGACATTTTGACTTTTTATCATTGATAGATTGGCTTTTTTGGGGATCATTCTTGACGCGCAGCGGCCTGATTTTTCCCTCGTATTGGAGTCTTGAAAAAAATTTGGGGGTCTTGAAAAAAAATTTCCAGGATTTGGTGAGGACCCTGTATTTATGTTTTCATTAAACTATCAATCAGTTTCATTTTGATATTTTGCTTCCAGTTTCTGTCATTTTAATGTGAAAATCAATAAAATGAGTATTTCACTAAACCTGAGGTGCTCAGTGAAATTTGTATGGACACAGACAGTTTTGAATCGGACAATGACCTTGACTATTTCGATCAGAAGTCTTCAGATCAAGTAGAAAGTGATGAAAAATAAAATGTTAACAGAATGGTGAAATTTCATTATATCTATAACTCCACTAGAGGCATAGTAACTAATATCTCACATAGTCAGAAAGCGAACGGCAGCTCAGATCCTGAAAGTCAAGTGTCAGGCCAGTCTTGTAGGTGTTCAGTGTCTTACAATTTATGTTATTTCATTTGCTATAACCGCAAGCTTTGTTTCAGGAAAAAGCATCTTATGATGGTCACTTGAAAAAGCATGGCAACTGAAATAAAAGGGTTTCAGAATCACAATACCCCGATTTGTACACATAAAAGATAAGCCTCACAATAATATTGAACTTTGTTACTATATTATTTATTCAATTTCCAACACATTCAGTTTCAGAATCTGCACAATTTTGCTACATCAGGTAAAGTTCTGAAACAATCTAATTAATTTTTTTAATACATGCAAATGCAAAAAAAAAAAAAAACCAAAATGTGTGAACAATAAACATATCACAGCATGCTGATTTGCAAGTCTCAAATCACACTTTCCGCAAGAAAAGTGCAAATCTCCCCGAAAGCCAAAAGTGTTTCAGTAAAGTAAACTTAAATCAGAAAAGAATCAACTAAAGAACGAGATCCAAGGGCACCCCCTCCCCCCACCACAGGATTGAATAGATACAAATATTCAAGACAAACATTTCTCTGAAAGTGAAAAGGGTTCCTACTTGAAGAACACTGGCTTTCCATCAATTCACAAATTTCTACTATCTTCCAAAAGAGATAGGGAGTGGGCGAGAATAGGAAACTGATTCATGCTCTTCTGACTAGTAGCTTCATTTTTAAAAAAGGACTTTCTTTCCCTGTCTATACGAGTGCTGATCAATTTATATCAGTAAGCAACATAATAAAATTGCCCATGTTCAAACTAAAACGTGATTTTTTTCTGAATCTCAAGGACAAAATTTTAATTTGAGACTTTATTGTTTATTAGAAAAACACACACACACACGAGAAGGGCAGAAAACACAGAGAGTAAGCCTTTCATATCAAGGTGCTTCTTGCATATTGACCGACACCTGGGGACAACAGTTATGCCAGCTCTCAAGGTCACACATCTAATATTCAACACAACGCACATGATGCGGGTCATTTCAGCTGACATACCATAATACTTTTTAAAAGAAATTACAGTGAGCAGCCCGTGCAACATTAAGGCACCCAAAATGTACATTGCACTTTGCTCCTCCAGTGTTGGTGAATTATTCTATAGGGTGTCTGAAGCTGCAGACGATTCATAACAGTTGTAAGGTTTAGTATAATGATTAATAACACTGCTTAAATGTTTTCCACATTAAAGCACCCACTGGTTCCGACAGCTGCGTCAACCAGCATAAAGAAACCATCCAACAAAATCAGATTGCGTGTGCACATGTCTTCTGTGTCAGTATCAGCCATCAGGTTGATCCTGGTCCTGCTGCGGATCACTCGTGTCAAAAGAACACCAGGGCATGGCTTGTTGCAAATGAGATACAACAGACTTTAAGTCTTTGATCTCAATCAAGTCGTAGATGATCACTTGTTTAAGCTTCCTGTGAAAACAAAAGAAAACCAAAAAATGAGAAACTTTACGTGACTCAGCCGTTATGATGATAAACAGTGTTATATGAACAAGCAGATTCTCTACAAATGCTCTGTCAATTTTCGAGCATCAGTTTACAGCGCATGAGATGTACTCGTAGATGTAAAAACATATGTGAGGCAGCTCGTCAGGTGCTCATCAAAATAATGAAATCGAAGAAAACGGCATTTTTCTTCCCATCTGGCAATTTTTGTCGAATTTTGAAATTTTGACTCAACACTTTTTATGTCTATTTAAAAACAATTTGCTGTGTGGCTTTTACTGAAAAACGTTGATTAAAGGAACAAACAATGTAAATTTACAGTTTTCAAGGACTCTCAAGCTTTGAAAGTCACCAAACTTTGGCGGCCATTTTCTCTCTTATTTTACCTCTGAAGTGAAAACAGGTGACCCCCACCTCCTTCAATCCAAAATATCTCAACTTGTATTCAAGATAAATGGATATTCATCTTTCATCAAAAGCAAAATACATGAGCAAGCTTTAATATGATACCAATAACTATACACGCCCAAAAATTGACGAGAGCCTGATTCCACCGCATGGTGACACATACATTTTCTTTTGTGAACTCCATCCTGTTTCCCTTTAAAAAATCACAAATTATCTTTTTTATGTGACACGACATCATAAGTGACATTACATGGTTGGTTCAAAAGAAGACATGCCGCAGATCAATTATGTGTATTGCTTTTTTGACTTAAATTAATATCTAAGCTGCTGGATGGCAACTCCCATTCATTTTTTATCCACCCTTGTATGGTATGTGTTTTTTCTCACACAGAGAACAGTAGAGAATGAGAAAAATGACCAATTTGCATTTTTTCAAGGAATTCTTAAGACCACTTTTTCAGAAAACGTATTTTTTGAAAATTGAAACTAAAGGCAATGGTAGGACATTTGTTTTAAAAAACTAATATGTGCAAATTTCATTAAGATCCATAAATTAGTAAAGTCAGTTGGGTTTTTTTTAAACGGTTAAAATTGTCGAAGCCAGCCTCTCCCCCCCCCCCCCCAACCCCCCTCAATGTCCAGGAGAAAAGGATTGTCTTGTTTTTTTATTTTTTAAATGGGGGGGGGGGGGGGGGTTTTACGGCACTCGCATTTACGGCACTCGCAACTGCATAAGGTCATATGAGCGCTCGGGACACATTAAACATTTTCAGTTGGCAGGAAATTTTGAATTTTGCCCGGCTGGCGGTCGAAGCCTACTCTTATCAATTTCAGACCACCAAGAGATCTTTAACGTGCGAAACTCTTTGCCCTTGTCTGAGAAGGCTAGGTGTAGATCTTGCCTACAGGAAGATCAGGGGTATCGCTGAAAGACAGCAGTAAGAAAGAGCCAAGGAGTAGCAGTAGGAAGGCTGCAGAAAGGGTCAGGAGCCCAGAGGAGGGGGCAAAAGAGGTGAAGGGGTGGGGGCAGAAAGTGGAGACCAAAGCAGACGATGGAACATTGCTAAAGAGCAGGAAAGGAGGTGAAAGGAGACAATTTTAGATAAGAAAATGTTTCCGTCGCTACCCGGATTCGAACCCAGGACGTTTGAATGAGAGGCGAACACCTTGACCTCTAGGCCACAAGAGCCCAACAAGGATTGTCTTAGACAAGAGGACATCTTGGGCAGTGTCACTATAATACTTTTTTTTTTAAAGTAAGGATGGAAATAAGAAGGGCAAGTTTGTTTGTTTTTTGACCGATGGTTGTTACAGCAGGTTCATCTGTACACCAAAAATGCCAGTGCTCAGGGATTGTTAAAGGGGTCCGGTCTCAAACAAGTGAATCAAATTAGAGTTTGTGCTTGGTGAAATCTGCGGTAAGAAACAGGACCAAAGAGTTGAGCTTTTATCTCAGTGTCTTCATGTTTGAAGCAGAGAGCAGTTCTCAAACTATGAACAAGCAGCAACATGGGTCCCTGACAAATGACCTGTTCTGAAGTGCAGCTTTCTCAGAAAAGCCAACGAAGGAGTAATGGAATCGGTTCAAGGAAGTTTTTTTCTTTCTTTTGCTCTTGTGAAATTGGTAAATTTGGCATTGCCAGCTGAAGTTAAGAAAACTATAGAGAAAACCACAAAAAAAGTGATTTGAAGATGGTGTGAGGTCTTTTCAGAATGGGTGATCTTATTTAGCTATACCCAAAATAAGCATTTCCATTTTTAGTCCAAATAAGCCAACTACATGTAGCATTGACATCTCAGAGAAAAAACATGGCAGTAGCATTATCCAGAAAAGGATATAATGTAGGTCTTTTTATTTCATAGGGGAATATTTCATCACAAAAGAGTTCCTTTCTCTTTCAGTGCAAGAAGTGATTTTTCTCCCTTATCACAAAACGTAGTCTGCCTTGTTCATATAAAGGGAATCTCAAAACTCAGTGCTTCGGGAACAAAAAACATTCAGTCTCACAAACTCACTTGAGCTCCTGGAGCTGTGCAAGACCTTTTTGTGTGATCATCGGGCACCGGCTGATGTCAAGCGATTCCAGAGAGTCCTTCACAAAATGCAAGTGACCAAGAGCATCATCTTGAATGGTGCGGCATCCATGAAGCTTTATTGTTCTCACATGCTGAAGATCCTCTGGAATTAAAATTTGAAACAAGCATACTTCTTGTTATAAACTTTTAATGCAAAAGCAAAAATACGCAGACCTTTATTTAGCAAACCTTGGCTAAAAGAAAAGATATCTATTCTGTGAAAACAATATTTTCCAGTGCTTTCAAAATTATGTTACCTAATAAGTGCAAAAAAACACGATTTTCTCAACAACAACAAAAATCTTTTAAAAAACAATGAAATCACCATCAGCCTCACAATAATTTTTCTGTTCACATTTTTTAACAAATTATTTCTGTTCATAAAAAGATGCCTATGAAATACAAAAAAAATTCAACATCAATATTAATGTCGGTGCTCTGATGGAACCTCGCTAACTCGAATTTTGGCGATAATTGTTTTATTGTACCAAAAGATTCTGGATACCTTGATACACAAAGTGTCTTCTGTGTGAACAAATTATTACTTTTCAGTGATTATGCAATCTTTTATTACTATTATAAATATTAAATTCAGATTCATAAATTATACTACAATTGCTAGAAAATGCACTTCAAGTTTTGCGTGAACTTCCCTACCCAGCACAAGGCGATAAGTGATCTGCTGAACCACGCTAACGCTATATAGCAAGGTTACATCAGAGCACCGGTTAAGTGCAGCGGATCAGTGAACCTCTTATTCTTTCTCCAAGGGGTCACTTTCTTTATCAATTTCAGTTGATGTGTTTAGGGACAAAGAAATTGTAACCCACGCAAAATGTATAATAGCTCAATAGCTGGCCATTGGAACATACAGGAATTACCCAGAGCATGATAAACATGACACGTATTTTTTAAGTTTTAGTCAGTTTTACGACACTTGCGACACAATACGATCATATAACTGACGGAGATTAGAGGTGTTACAAGAGAGTAACAAACGCAAAAAAGGAGGGGAGATAAAGACGACAGATTTTTTTATAGGAAAGAAGGAGCAAACCACACCAGAGCACCCACCAACCACCCACTTTTAAACGTGTATTTAGAGACAAACCAAAAACAGCGAGGTTAGCCCAGGGCAAAATAAAGCCACATGTGCTCAGTTCTAACCTCAATAACACGTTAGCGAGGTTTAACCGAGCAGCACTTGAGATGGAGAACCTCACTAAACAAAAGATGTTTTGTGCTAACTCAGATTGCATAATACTGCCCTAAGCTATAAAACACATATTTCACTGCAGTATTTTGTCAAGGGCCAATCACAATATATTGACAAAATTTGATTGATAATGTATTAACATTAACAATGAGAGACAGTTTTATGTCTCTCCTGTAAAATTTTAAAATATGAGTTAACATGGTCCTAACAGAGCCCCGACAATTATATATATATATATTGATTATTTTCAGCTAATTCTCAGCATCTCAATGGCAACATGATACAAATCTAAAAGTTCATAACACTCAGTTGTGTAAAGACTTTTGCAATCAGTGGATATTTGTTTTCATTTTCCAGTTTTGCAGCTCTTTAGACTCACCATTATTTTCCACTTGTTTATCTGTAACTTTTACCACCTAAAAAGAAACACACGAAAAAAACCCACTTACTTAAATGTTCAAAGCCAAGACCAATGACATTTGTGGCTGTCAAGTCAATTTCTTCAATCTTGTAGCTTTCGAAATCAATGCTTGGGAGCAGATTGTAGTTCTTCAAATACTTAGTCGATGTTGTCCACTTTATAGTCCCTCCGTTCCGGAGGACCCACTCAGCACAAGCACGATCAGGTCCAGCCAAACGGACACGTTCTTCATCCACTCTGGAACATTTCAGATTTCAGTTCTTCAGTGAACAAAAATACACATAATATTATGATATATATATATATATATATATATATATATATATATAAAATATATATATACAGTCGAACCTGCCCTGACGGCACCTCTATAATACGGCCACCTGTACAAACGGCCACTTTCCATTTCCCCCCTTGCGTTTTTTCTATATAATTTAACTGTAAAACGGGCACCGGTCCACTGCGGCCGCGGCCACCATAATTTAATACACAACCCCTATCATATTAAGCAATAATACCTGTCTTAGACGGTCACCTTAGAGACTCCATTACGTTTTGTCATAAATTGTGCATTGGCCCCTGGCGTTGTGGGCGAGCCGTCATAATTCAATCACCTGTTGTTGTTGTTAGGAAGTCCCTCCAACTGATCATGTTGCGTAGGCCCCTCCCACTGTTGACCAATAGCTACCAATTTTCAGCTGCTGGTGAGGTAAGTGTGTGATCCCTTATAACCCATAAGCCCCGCCCAGAACTCATACACAAATTGTAAGTGAGATGAGTGGTCACTGTTTACCCAGTCTGCAACAAAGTAACAAAGAACGTCAACATGAACTTGTGACAGAATCGTCGCTCGTTCTCCGAGTGGTGGCGACCCATGTTTTTGTTTTAACATGGCACTCAGTCTTCCTCGTCTGATAAATTTTGTTTTATTGTCACCCTTGTGCAAAATCAACGACAAAATAAAAATTACAAACGAAATACAAACCAACAACAACAACACCAACAAAGACAACAACAATGCGGCTACTTTCGATTGAGACCTCAGATGGGAATGGTTTGTTTTCTTTATCTTGATCAGTCCTGCCTAAGACGGCCACTTTTCTCATTGACAATGGATGGCCGTCTTACACAGGTTTGACTGTATATATATATATATTAAATACAGTGGTCTTTGCCTGAGATCCCAGTGCTTGGGAGCAAGGAAAATGCGGGATATTAGGTAAACAAGATCTTTGCTGAATCATTAGTGAAAAGAATCCACCAAGACTGATAGTCAGGCCTACAATCAACAAAATTATCTCCCCTTACTCTAAAATGACCCAACGCACTCATTACTTACGGGGAGCAAAGAGTGGTTAACTTTGATGACCAATCACAATGGTTACTTCTTAATTTGATGACGTATGCCATTTTCACTTATCCAATCAGGAGTATCAAGATCTAGGTCTACCTATTGCCCCTCCCCTTTAACCTGTCCAAAATTTTTAGCTTTCCATCTCGGACAGAATTCTCAGTTCATGTTATAACCCATCATTTTGTGGCTTCGGTGGCCACCGGACTCATAATCGTGAAGCTGCCGGGTCTGGGGTTTCAGCCACGGGCCCGACCTTGTGTCCTTGGGAAAGGCACTTTACACGAATTTTCCTCACTTCACCAAGGTGGAAATGGGTACCCGGTCATAGACAGCAAAAGATCTTGTCAGTGTGTTAGTGTTTTAGCACCTACAAATGGCTGCTTACACTGTATGCTTCCCACGAAGTTGAGTTAGTTTCAGAATGCTCTCAGGTCTGCTGGGGTAATAGTATAGATTGTGAATCGCATAGAGCTTGCAGTTGAGCGGGGATTAGCGCTATACAAATGCTATCTATTATTTATTTTGTTGTGACTTCACCAAAATTCAAAGAATGAAAGGCAGGCTCACGGCAAACAAAAGACCATTTTACCCAAAAGCAATCGGATGTGGCCTTGCCGGCTTCACCCACCTAGCATGTGATGTAACTTCTGGAAGTGGGCTCAAATGCAGTGCGATGTTTGGGGAAAACCAAAAGCATCGACATGTTTCATATCTTGTCATGATTTTACATAGTAAAGTTTCTGTTTAAAAAAAACCCAGCAGGATCTTAAGAAAACCGGGATCATAAGCGGTGGGATTTTAGGCACAGATTACAGAACATAAAAACAAACAAAAAACAAAATTATATATGTGAGGCACCATGGTGAAACCAGGCTCTCATCAAAATAATGAAATCGAAGAAAATGACATTTTTATTGGTAAACACCTTTTATGTCCATTTAAAAACAAATTCCTGTGCGGATTTTACTGAAAAACATTGATCAAGGCACTATATACAGTAGTCTCTGCCTAAATGCACGGTGCTCGGGAGGGCTCCTTAGTGTGTGTTTATACGGAACGTACGTTTACATGAATTTGTGCAAAGGGAGGATGGGACGCAGTCATCTCAATTCCTTGATATTCTAGTGACCTCCCTTGGAGGTGGGGGTCACTCGTCGAAAATGTGACGACATGTGACTGTTTTGTGAAGCATTCTCCGACTGCGATTAAGAATACAGAAGCAATGAATGGGTGAGTCAAACCTAAGAAGAGAAGACCAAAGATGACATGGAGGCGAGCGGTACAAGCGGAAATTGAAAAAGCGGGGACATCATGGAAACAGATAGAAAGGGATGCTCAGGACAGGCTTCGCTGGAGTAATACTGTTGATGGCCTGTGCTGCACTGGGAGTTAAAAAGGGCAAGAGAGAGAGAGAATGGGCGGGTTAGGGCAGAAAGACAGACTCAATGCAATAATATGCACCATAAAAGGTCAGGAACAAGATAACCTAAAAGGAAACAGTTGGTTATAGTCATAGAGACGACGGTCCAGCCACGTGACTTTCCCAGCCCAGAGTGTAAATTCATAGACGACATCACAATTATAGATCTCTATATTCAGAGAAACTTTTCTCTTCTGATTCCTTGAACAAGTACAGTGGAAACTACATACAACAGGCCCGGTAATAACAGGGATCTGGTTATAACAGGGATTTTTTAAATCCCCTTTTTTTCCTACTCTTTGTCTCTATTAAAAGTTATCAAAAATAACAGTGCCTCATCGGAGCCCAATCAGTTATAACAGGGACAAAGGCTCGTTAACAATGTGTAAAACATGAGAGAGAGAGAGAGAGAGAGAGAGAGAGAGAGAGAGAGAGAGAGAAAGAGAAAGAGAGAGAGAGAGATGGTAACGCAGTGATATAAGTCTCGCTACACGCACGCGTAGTGAGTCATGTACCTCTGTTCGTGGGTACTTCTGGCAAGGGAAACTGGCTACAAATAAATACAGCTGGAATAGTCCACAAATGCTTACTTCCCTTGCATTTCTGATTTAACAGGGATCTGTTATAATAGGACTTTTTATCTGGTCCCACCATCCCTGTTATATCAGGTTTCCACTGTACATCATAAGTTCTTCGAGTGCAGCTGATAAGGCTTACTTGACTAATCTTTAATCCTATAGAGGCCTATCTAGTGTTTTATAGCATTCATGCTTGTTGAGCATTACAGGCCTAGGTCTAGCTAAACATTATATGCAGTCACCTAAACACCAGTCAGAAACCTTCTCTCAAAGATGTATTTCCAGTGACCAATAAAAAAAAACCCATTTCAGTCGCCCAACCCCCCAACATTTCACCGACTAGTCCTAGACCTATGTTTCTGTGGAAAGTTGGGTGTGAAAAAGCTGCCCATCACTCTGTTTGTTCGGCGCGAGGGGCCGTCTCACCAAGCTACCAAATATCCGGTTTGCCAGGCTTGTCTTCCATGCAAGCTGTGTAGGCTGCAGTGAAAATTTCCCCTTGTCCAGCTTTACCAGTCGGTGTGTTTTGCGGATCAGAGCGTGCGTTTAGAGAAAGTGACCGTGCATTTGTATGTCTAAATTATATAGTAAAAATCCCGTCATATGACGAAAGCGTGCGTTTGGGCAGAGCTTGCTTTTGTATGGTGTTCATTTTGACAGAGACTACTGTATGTAAATTTACTGTTTTCATGGACTCTCCAGCTTTGGAAATCACCAAACTTTAGCGGCCATTTCATCACTTATTTTACCTCAGAAACCAGGTCATCCCCACTTCCTTCAATCCAAAATATCTCAAACTCTATTGAATACAGATATGTAATTTTCCCGGTGTCGAAAGCAAGACAAATGATCAAGCTTTAAGATACCAATAACCCACTGTGCCCAAAAATTGACAAGCGCCTGATTCCACTGCGTGTCACACACACACACACATAATTACAAATTTATTCCGAATGCTCCTGTGTAACATACATCTACTAAAAACAAACATCACACTGGGTAGAAATGAATTTTCCATGCAATAAGCACACAGTTTGATTATAAATAAGAAAGATTTGCTTGAGTTTCCTTGATTTATGTGATGCTGTCCACCAGCTGAACTGGTGCACCTTATACAAAGAGTTGAAGATAAGAGCAAGTGCAGTCACGCACCTCCCCCACTTTAAAAAGCAAAATTAAAAGGTCAACTTTTCTATAACTACGTATTAAAATGCAACTAATTGAGTAATTGAAGCCCTGAATTGTTATTGGGAAAGTGCATATTCTTTCAAAATATTGTTGATTAACATCATGAAAAAAGCATCAAGTGCATAAAAATCATCACAAATCTTTCTAAGAATCTTTCTGAGCAGTTACTCACTTGTTAAAAGCAACATCCAGACCCCAGAATGTCCTCTTGGGAATGTTGGCAAATACAGACTGTTGAAGCAAAATTTCTCTCTTCCATGAAGACCTTCGGGAATTTACAGAGCCTGCCAAAGAACATCCCTGTATCCCTGCAGGCAATCTCTAAACACAGAGAAGGCAAAAGATAAGTTAGATAAAGCATTCCAAATAATTTAAAATACATGTCTAGGCATATAGGCCTATTCACAATAGATACCAAGAAAATATAATGAGTCCTTTTCAATTTCATATCATTTACCCACGTCTCTCACATTTTGTTTTTGACCAAACCAAACTTCGAGTTCTATTCTTGAACTAACTGAAACAAAAACCACGTTTAATTCAGTCTGAAACTGCATTTCTTGGACAGTCACCATTACATCCATCAATGAAACAATTGTTAAACAAACAGCTGGAGCATATTTATCTCAATAAAATAAGTACACAAAAATATTTAGAACACAGAATTATTGAGTACTAATGTCATCAGACAGAAGTTTCCTCAACACAACAGAAGTCAACGGAGTTCTGGTTAATTTCCCATTATTTTGATTTAATTGAAATGGCTTATATAGTCAGTCATATAGAGAGAGTCCTCGTTATACCGCCAACCTTGGGACAAGCATGAAGTTGGCAAGTAGTACGACTGGATTCTAAAGCTGACCTCTGTTAAAAAGCTGCGACTGCCAGATGTCAAGGGAAATTATTTTGCAGTGTGGTCTGTTTAAAAAGTGTTTCTTCGTTGGTTAATTACATGTACAGTCAAAACCCGTTATACCCCCTACCTTGGGACAAACACGAAGTTGGCAGTATAGCAGGACTGGCGGTATAATAGGATAGTACCAATTGTCATCTTGAAAAGAGGGACTAGTACAGACTATAAAAAAACTGTGGCCAGTCTCGATTCACCTAGATCTGTTTTTTCCAAATTGTCATGCGCAGGGGGAAAAAAAATTAACAACTATTCACATACAGTAACAGATCCACTTGAATTTTACATAAATTCAAACTGAAAATTTATGCCAGATCAGAAGCTAGGCTATGTGTTAAGGACCCTGTAGACGTACAGTTGTTTTTTCCTCGGTACTTATCAGTCCTCAGGCTGCCTCAGATCTTTCACACAGACTTTCAGTGAGTTCTCACAATCTAAAGGCCTCGCAGGAGCCCACCAGCCTTTTGGTCAACAGCACTGATATTTTTTGTCACGCCAAATATTTTGCCAGCCGATTAAGGTGGCACAGTTCATTTGAAGTTCTCCAGGCAACTTTAAAAATTAATTCCATTTCTTTTTAAATATTGACCAAAGCTTAAAACTAAATAGAATACTATTTTCATAATCAGTGCAAATCAGGAGCAAATCAGTGACAAACGCTAGAAATACACCCAACTCACAGAGACATGTGTGGGGAGAGAGATTATCAGCTACCGAGTGGGTGCCTGCGCACTGTGTGTAGTGTGCACCTCTGGTGGTCTGTTCCTTTCCGGAACAGTGAGGCAAATTTACAATAGTTTAATAAGGATAGCACAAATTAGACAGTTGGTGGATGGCGGCGTAAAGGCACAAATACTACGCTTATATATAGGTGTTCCTTTTCATACATGGCAAAACCTGGCGGTCAGCGGGGCTACAGGTATAAAGGGGGCGGTATAAATAATGCAGTTTGACTGTATTTCAACTTGAGAGTTTTGTATCTATCTCTTTCTCTCTCTCTCTCTCTCTCTTTCTTTGTGTGTGTGCACGCACATGTATGTGTAGTCTGTGTGTGTATAAATTCAACTGAAAATTTCATGTATATCCAGACCAGTGGCAACCAAATGCATGCTGCTTGAAATCTTCACCAAGAGAATACTGAAAAGGTGGAATGGGCCCGAAGGAAGCAAATTGGTAAAACACTAGCTCAACAGAGTTGTCTATGGGAAAGAGGGACATTTTCATAGTGCAACTGCTGAGTGGGTGCTGTGCATAGTGCATTTCTCTTGTGGGAGAGGGGGAGGGGAAGCTCTGCAAGATCACAGCTGACCTCTGCCATAATGCTGAGACACATCCATGAACAAAGTACATATTCTTTTTTTTCCCCAAGTCTTGTCTTTTTTTTCTTTGGGGAAGGGGGGGGGGGGGGTGTTCTATAGGAATCATACGCTGTCTGAAAAAGAGAATATATATATATATATATATTAACTCTGGCATGTTTCAGTCACGGGATCACTTTTCATCCGATTTTGTTACTTTTAGTTAGTGTAACTCAGCAGCCCGCCCGAGCCCTGAAGCAATTTTCCCGGTGTCGGTTAAGAAGTTAGCATTTTTGTCTACACTTGAAACAATATAACTTCTTTCCTATCCCACACAGCAAACCATTATGTACTAAAAGCTCATTGTCTTGAGATTTATTCTGTGTTAATTTCTGTGTCTTAGTTTTTGTTCTACACAAGTGTTTGTCGAGTCCCCAATATGTCCTATTTAAGTTACATCCTTTAGAATAAATTATATTTTAAAACGGCTCGACAGGTCTCTACAAAATCGATGTTAAACTGACTATGAATACTATTATGTCTTTTAACATGAAAAATCTTAAATATGCGCAGGTAGTAATAGTCAAGTTACAAATCAAGAGAAGAAATATGCACAGCGGTATTTTTTGACAAAATACTCAGCGTTGCCTTTTGTTTTACCATTAAACAAGAGAAAGCTACTCTCTGCTTTTGTTCATGAATCAAGTCTGTGTCTGTGGCAGCCAGCATACAACTAAGAAAAATAAATATTTATATGTATGCCATTTTTTAAAACATAAAACAGTGTAAATATATAGAGGTAGAAATAAACTTCTGTTTGGAATAAAAACAATGACAGCTAACACAAGATCCATTCTTAGTTTTTGTGTCAGAAATATGCGCGAAAATTATGAAATAAAAGAGATCAGAAAGTTGTCAGTTATTTTATGGTCATAGAAATGAAAAATAAAAACTGTAAAAGTCAAATCCTGATTCAGTGTCACTGAAAAGCTAGAAATTATTCTGAAAACCCAGTTATGAAAAGTCATCCCTGTTATAATTCTGTCAACTTACGAAACCTTGACCTAGCATTTTGAGAAAAGTAAGGAATTTCTAAAGTGTAACTGGTACTTTTCGTATTGCACAGTTGCAGATGTATTCTGGCACTAAAATAGATTTGCACTTTTTCATAGAGAGACTACAGGGTATTTTGCAAACTTTTGAGAAAACATGCGAATATTCATGATTGTATTAAAAGAAAAGACAAAAAGTTGATAAAGTTACAGTATGTGGAGGAGTTAGTTTTTAGTGAATTGTGTGCCAGATGGATAAGTTGTAAAATTAAAGCTTTCTATTTAATGTGCAGATAGCATTTTTTCTGAGCATCTCCATCAATGTTATGTCGTTCATGTTCCAAAAGTTCCACAGTTTTTGCAGAGCTGTTTTATCTGTTTCATTGATTTTTCTCATTCATGATACTTGCCAAAAAAATATCTAGCATTGTCAACTTCAGAACAACGCGTCTAGCCAAATAACCAGACAAGTTACAAGGTCCGTTCTTTTTTTAGTCTTACTTACTTTACTTTTTCACCCTCTGTTGCCATTAAGCGTCGAGGGGAGATGCAGTTTTCTATGGTAGGCCAGCTCCGCAGCTCTTTCAGTTGTGATGTTATGTTTTCTTAGGGTTTCCTTGACACCCTCGATCCACATTTTGCGTGGCCTTCCTCTTCCTTTATAGCCTGAGTGCTTGGTGTTGTAGGCTCTCATGACTGGCAGGTCAGGTGACATGCGTAACAGGTG